TGGGAAGAAGTAACCTCAGTTAAAAAGATGGCTACATCACGTTAGCCTGTAGGCAAGTCTGGGAAAACTTTTTTTTTTTTACGATTTTACGAGACAGGGTTTCTCTGTATTGTTTTTGAGGCTGTCGGTCCAGCCTGGCCTCGAACTCACAGAGATCCGCCTGCCTCTGCCTCCCGTGTGCTGGGATTAAAGGCGTGTGCCACCACCGCCCAGCGGAAAACATTTTCTTGATTAGTGGCTAATGTAAAAAGGCCCAGGCCACTGTGGGGAATGCCATCCCTGGATAGGTGGCTCTGCGTGGCAAACTCATTAAGTGTAATTAATATGTCAATACAAAACGGTAAGACCCAGTAATTATCTGAAAGGCTTGAGGCAGGATGGCTAATTATGACAGAGAGGGGACACAGAAAGGGGAATGAGCCCCATTACTCTCCTGGTCTGACTTCAGTTTATTTCAGGCTGACACTCAGAGATATAGACCAAACCAGGCCACCTGAGAATGAACCGAGCTCCCCTTACAGAGAAACATCACAAATGAGAACTGGTTTTAATTTATTCATTTATTTTTTGAAATTATATATATATATATACACATATGTATGTATTTGTGGGGGGGGGTGTACATGAGTGCAGGTGCCATAGATGCCAGAAGAGGGTGTCAGCTCCCCTGGACTGGAGTTCTAGGTGGTTGTGAGCCTGACATGGTTGCTTAGATTTGAACTCAGGCAGAAGAGCAGTCAGTGCTCTTAACCACTGAACCATCTCTCCAGCCCACAAGTTTGTTGAAATGCCTAATGGATGATGTGTTAAATCCAATGTCCTGGTGACTTACGTAGAAGTAGGTATGTTGTTCTTTTGTAAAAGTTTAAAAATTAGAAATTAGAAAGGCCGTGAGATGGACTGGGACCAGCGCGGTAGAGCATGAGTCATAGAGAGTATATGTTTACTACAGCGCTGGGAGAGCGAGAGGGGAGAGCAGGAGGAGAGAGAGAGGAAGACAGAAGGGAGAAGTAAGAGAGTGGGGAATGAGGTGTGAGAGAGAGAGAGAGAGAGAGAGAGAGAGAGAGAGAGAGAGAGAGAGAGAGAGGTAAGAGAGAGGTGAGTGGGTGGGGGTCTGTTCTTTAAAGGGGTTTTTTGCACCTGCATGCTGACTGTACTCATGGAACCCTGGGCTGACCAGAGTACTGCCTGAGTGCATTCTGCCAGGTAACTGGGGCAGGCCAGCGTAATGCCTGAACCTTTCATTCGCACTTTTACTTATTATTAAAAAGGTGAGGAGTTAGACATGGTAGGTTAGGGTCAGGACATTGAGTTCTCAAGACTACTTCCTGCTGACCTGGGGGGCACTGACCATCTTTGAGGGACCTGAGAAAGTCGGGGTGCTGCCATGTCCTGGGGTAGCTGGTTGTGCCATCACCATCCAGGCTGTATGGTACTCTCTGGCACCTCTTAGACCCGGCAAGATGTTAGTAGAGTAGAGGAGAAGGTTTACAAAAACATTTTTTTTTCTTAGGTCCTGGTGTTTGAGGGGAAGACTGTAAAATGAGGGAGGGGTTCGCCAGGGGGTCCCAAGATGAGGGAAGGGAGTCCTGGGACCAGGGAGAGATTGAATAATATCTGGAGTGAATCTGACCTGTTTGGGTGGGTCTAATTCAGCTCCCTGAACTTAAAAGAATCCTTTGAGTTTGTGGAAACATAAGTTTTAGACACATTAGCGGCATATTTATGTTAGAAGCGACTTGGCTGAAAGCATTAACACTTTTAAAACTGACAGATTTCTTTAGCATAATAAAAAGTACCTTCATCTTGACCTTGCAGTTATGACTGTATAGTTGTTATAGTTTGATGTTTAGTACTCTATTGGAGTTGGATTAGTAGCTTATCAGAACTTTATTAACATTAAGACTATGAACAGTAGCATAATGAAAGAGAGAAATCTGGAACATATTTCATTCTTTTTAATGTCTCACCTCACTTTATTTGTCATCACTTAAACCTTTTTATCCTTGGACCTTCATAACTTTAATTCATACACCTTACATTACTACCTTATATAGATAAACCTTAAAATACCTGTTCCTGAAATCTATTTTGTGACAGTTAGAGCCTTGTCTGTTATTTTAAGCTGGCAAAGCTACCAGCCGCCAAAAGCATCAGAGTTCTTGAGAAAGATAAAATTTTACCTGATTAAAGAATAACAGAGACTTTAAGCAGGGAAAGCCACCAGTTGCCACCTGTCAAAAGCATCAGAGTTCTTGAAAAGAACAAAATTTTACCTGAGTTAATGATCAGAGAATGAGAGAGACTTGCTATCTGGCCATATGGACAGCCACCCCAAGGTCCTCTATAGTTGTTGAAGTCAGAGGCTTCCAAGGACACCTGCCTTCTGCTGATAGAGTGAGACCTGTGGATTAGGTTTTCGAGGAAGACTTCCTTACCATTGGCCCAAGCAATGCAGAGAAAAGTCGATTCTACTGTCCTCTTGTCCACCGTCTGAAGAGTCCTTTGCAGCAGTTGAGGTGAAAGACAGGATTGGTCAGTGGCCAGCTTTGCCACCTTTGTGGGTGGAGTTTCTTCAGTGCCCACCAGTCTTCTTGGAGGAAGTGGGGTGGGCCAGCAGCTGGCTTGTCTCTCTAAAAAGCTTCTTAATAGCTGGGCAGTGGTGATGCGTGCCTTTAATCCCAGCACTCTGGAGGCAGAGGCAGTCAGATCTCTCTGAGTTTGAGACCAGCCTGGTCTACAAGAGCTAGTTCCAGGACAGTCTCCAAAGCCACAGAGTAAACCCTGCATTGAAAAACAAAAAACAAACAAACAAAAAAGCTTTTTAATAAAACATTTACTGAAAAAAGCCGGGCATTGGTTGTTCACACCTTTAATCCCAGCACTCTGGAGGCAGAGGCAGGCGGATCTCTGTGAGTTTGAGGCCAGCCTGGTTACAGAGCATGTTGTTCCAGGACAACCTCCAAAACAATACAGAGAAATCCTGTTTCGAAAAACCAAACTAGATAGATAGATAGATAGATAGATAGATAGATAGATAAAAATAAAGCATTTAAATACCATGTTCTCTAGATCTTTGAGCATTTGAGGGCTGTCTGTCTGTCTATCTAATATATAATAGAAGCTTTACCTTTGTAAACAGCTTACAGGAAGGACTGATTGGTATAAATATTCTGTTAATTTGAAATAGACGCTTATAACTTTAAATGTTTACCATCATTTAAAGATTCATCACAGTTAATTTTAAGTTGCATATAGAGTTAGCTCACATTTTTAAACAGTTGCTAGACTTTTTTTTTGAACCCTGGGCTGACCAGAGTGCTGCCTGAGTGCATTCTGCCAGGTAACAGGGGAAGGCTAGTATGATGCCTGAACCTTTCAAAGTATCCTTTTGGTAAGCATTGTGTGTGCAAGTGTGCACATGTTTGAGTGCATCTGGGTGCATGTTCAAGCTGGTGCACATGTGTGTGGGTGCACACAGGTCTGGAGGCTACAGGACAGCCACAGTGTTGTTCCCCGGGCCCCTCTCTTTTCCAGGTTGTATGTGTCTCTCACTGGCCAGCATGCCCCAGGATGCTACCTGCTGAGATTAGAAGCCAACCCACCACTCCTGGCTTTTTAGTTCCCTGCCCCCCTTAAACATGAGTTGAAAGCATTGAATTCAGGGGAGTGTTTCTGCCCACTGAGAAGCTTCCCAGCCCTTGCCAGTGTGTTCATTCTACTGGATTCTCTTCTCCACCTTCAAGCCCCATGCAGTGTGCCTTGACAATTTCTCTTCCAAGAGCAAGTTCTTTGGATAAGAAAACCCAGCACACCCTTCCTCTCATGTCTAAGCTCAGAGAATCATCAGCTTTAACACCCCTAATCACATGTATAGCTGCTGAGCCCCTTGGGTGCATTCCTCTCCTAATAGGCACAGTGGAGTCTCGGGTCTTGACTTTAATCAGTGGCCTGGATAACTGTGCTTCAGTGTGACCTGTCGGGAAATGCCTTTCTGTCGTAGGGGTCAAAGGATCAGCTTCCCCAAATCCATGTTCTGAGCTGCACTGCCGCCATGTTTAGTTGCATTTCCTGTTGCCAGACCTGACTCATGCATTAAATGTGAAAGGCCTGGGAATTACGGGTATCGTCAAGATGTCAATTCTTTAAGTGTGATGGCTAATAAAATTTTTAAATTATTTTTGAAAACACATTTGTGATTACTTATTTGGTTGATAGTGTTTTGGGTTTTTGTTTGATGAGTGAGATCGACTCTTAGCCTTTGTCATAGTTTGTGTTGACACAGGAGCATCACTTGAAGCATCCTCTCCGTAGGAGTGGCTGTTCGCAGGTGGGGGTTGTGGCGGTGGTGGCGCACGCCTTTAGTCCCAGCACTCGGGAGGCAGAGGCAGGCGGGTCTCTGTGAGTTCAAAGCCAGCCTGGTCTACAGAGCGAGTTCCAGGACAGCCTCCAAAACAATACAGAGAAACACTGTCTCGAAAAAGAAAGAAAAGATAAGAAAGGTAACCGAGTAAGCTAGAGGGAGCTAGCTAGCCAGTAAGCCGAACCCTGCTTTAGTGTCCCTCCAAGATGGACTGTAAAGTCTAAGATAAAATAAGCCCTTTTCTCCTCGGGTTGGTTTCAGTCGCTGTTTATCTCAGTAACAGAGAAGCCAACTAGAAAAAGCAGCTGAGTTATTACCTTTACTTTGGACCTTTCATCTTTACTGTCATCTGAGGACCTCTAGGTGAGGAGGGAAGTGTTTGGATACTTAAACTTCTCCTGTCGATATTTCTTGGTCCTTTTCTCATCAAAGGAGCCTTCTGGATGGTCTCGCTGTTGAGAGATACTTAAAACGGGAGGGCGCATTCATTTGCCCCTAAATGAAGCACAGCTTGTTTTGCTCTTTTTCCACGACTTTTGGTCCCCCCGAGTTCCCGGCCGAGACTACATTTCCCAGCAGGCTGTGCTCAGACTTACGGGTGCCCGCATGGGACCAAGGGACTCTAGGGGTGGCACAGTCGTGGTGCAGGCTGCTGACGGGCGGGCGCTTTGCGGTTTGAATGGCTGCCGGCCCGGGCCCTCAGCTCCTCTGAAGAGCCACGGCCTCGGGGTGCGCCATGCCATCTGGAGGCAACCAGTCGCCACCACCTCCTCCTCCGGCCGCAGCCAGCTCCGAGGAGGAAGAGGAGGATGGCGACGCCACGGACGGCGCGCAGCCCGCGGGGTCCCCGGGCCCTCAGATCCAGCAGCGGTTCGAGGAACTGTGTAGCCGCCTCAACATGGACGAGGCGGCGCGAGCCGAGGCCTGGGGCAGCTACTGCAGCATGAGCGAGAGCTACACGCTGGAGGTGCGGGCGCAGACCACCCGGGGAGGTCGGGGGGACTCGGTGCGGCTCTGGGGTCGCTTGGTTGTCTGCACCGCACCATTGCCTCCGCCCCGGCTTTGCAGCGGTCAGAGGAGAGGAGTTAAGTTTCGGGCTTGCTTACGCGTGACAACGGCTTAAGATTTGTCATCCCCCACCCTCACCCCCCACCCCCGGCGGTCGAAAACCGGTGTAGACACACAGCATTTGTTGCTGAGCTCGGGCACTCTTTTTGGCTGTCACCCAACTATAGGTTTGTTATGTCCCGTTCTCGGGACGGGGCTTGAGGTTGACAAAAATGGCCATTCGGGCCAGTGCCTGTCAACTCTACAGGCACCTCCCCTGCCTGGGCCAATAGGAAGTGACACGGAAGTCCGGATTGTTATTCAGCTGCCTGTGAGTACGGCCCTTTTATTTTATGTATAGCTTGTGGAAGGAGCCGGCTAAAGAGGCCCACAATTCGAAGGCTAAGCAGGGTGTTATTTAACTGTAATATGGGGATTGTGTCTGTGTCATCCTGCTGAGTCGGTATATTTTGATATTTTTTTTAATCTGTTCACACATCGAAAACCCCCGCCCCTTCTCCATTGTTACAGCCCCAGAAAAGAAATAGGGCGGCATCAGACCTTAAGGATCTGAGTGACTCTGGACAAGTTTTTAAGCACTACTTTCTTTTTCAGGGAAATGATCTTCATTGGTTAGCATGTGCCTTATATGTGGCTTGCAGAAAATCGGTCCCAACTGTAAGCAAAGGGACTGTCGAAGGAAACTATGTGTCCTTAACAAGAATCCTTCGATGTTCCGAGCAGAGGTAACTATATTCGAGCTTGCAAAGTAGAATGTAGCCAAAATAAAAATCTTACAAATCATACAGGTAATGAAAAATCTCTTCGTTTACTATTTTCTGAGCATCTAACATGTGAATTGCTGAACTTAGAAACTGAGTCATGTTTTTTCCTTTACCATTTCAGAGTCAGGATCATAATTTACTAACTTGAGTATATTTGCATTTTAATGAATTTAAGGTTATGACTCATTGTATATTATTCATATAAATTTAAATAAAGATATTGAGGAGCTTTTAAAGATACTATGGATCAAAAAGGTAAATGAAATGTCAATTATGTGTGAAACTTGTGTTTTAATGTCCATGGAACGTGTAGAATCGAAGCTGCACACTCTCTGGCCCTAAAGAAACTCCTATAAACAAAAAGAAAGAAAGAAAGAAAGAAAGAAAGAAAGAAAGAAAGAAAGAAAGGAAAAATAGAAACTCCTACACACATACCAATATGTTTATTGCACCATGTAATAATTCATGATTTTATATGTATATGAGTACATGTATGTATCTGCATGTACCACATGTGTTTCTGGTGTCTGTGGCCAGAAGAAAGCATTGGACCCCCTGGAACTGGAGTTATAGGTGTTTCATGTCACCACGTGGGTGCTGGAACAGACCTGGGTTCTCTGCAAGGGCAACAAGTGCCCGTAACCACTCACATCTCCCCAGCCCTCCATCATTTTTTTTCTAAACTAGAAAGTAGCCTGGATTTCTCTTGATTGAGTGAATGCAGAAGGTTATTATATGTTCGTAGGAAGGAATGGTTTCAGTAATTGAATACATGAGTTAGATATTTCGATGTATTAATATCAATGACTCTTGGAAACATTAAATGAAAATTAAGTTGCAGAATGCTACTTATGATGTCTTCTACTTAAAATGTAAAAGAAAACTAAAAATTATTTTATGAATATATGTCTGAAAGATTAACTTTAGAATGTAGGTTATATTTAGGGGGAAGCAGAGAATGAGGTTAGGGAGGTGTTGGAATTTTGCTGTTTCTATACTATAAGTGTCTTGTTTTTTAAGAAGTTTTAAGATTCATGTTATCTTATGTGTATGAGTACTTTTCCTGCATGTATGAATGTGCACAATGTGCATGTTTGGTGGCCAAGGAGGTCAGAAGAGGACATCTGGTCTCCTGGCACTGTAGTAAAAGATGTCATAAGCCACCTTGTAGGCGCTGGGCATTGAGCCGAGGTCCTCTACAAGAAAAGCAAATACTCTTAGCTGCTGAGCTGTCTCTCCAGCTCTGTAGTTTTAGTATTTAAAGCTGGGGCTGGTGAGATCTGAGCTGGGGCCGGTGAGATGATGCCAAGGGTCAGAGCTCCTGCCACACCCAGCAGAAAATGTGAGTGGTGAAGTGGACCATGGTTGAGGAAGGCACTTACAATTTCTGGCTTCCTGTGCATTTCCACACACCATCTCCATGAACACATATACACACAAAAAACCAAAACTATCATAATCTGAACAAAGCAGACTAGGAGGGTTGGAGTAATAAGATAAATGGTAGGAGATAACGATAGCCAAAGGCATGTCTTTGACTTTATATCATTGTCAAAATATAATTTGATTAAATGATTTTGTTTTACTGTTAATTGAATTGGCATAGCATCACTTTTATGTTATTAAAGTACCTCATTTTTATTTTTAATATCAGCTTAATCGAATTTTTTAACAAGATGAAGAAGTGGGAAGACATGGCAAATCTACCCCCACAATTCAGAGAATGTACTGAGAGATTAGAAAGAAACTTCACTGTTTCTGCTGTGATTTTTAAGAAATATGAACCCATTTTTCAAGACATTTTTAAATATCCCCAAGAAGAGCAACCTCGCCAGCAAAGAGGACGGAAGCAGAGGTAGGCTTCTGTGTGTGTACAGTTCATCACTCTTCAAAGGGCACTTGATTTCAGAAATCACTTTTCCCAAAGGAGTTGGGGCTTCTGTTTGCTTTGAGATAGGGTCTCCCTGTGTAACCTTGGGTGCTTGGGATTCACACCACACTGTAGACCAGGCTGGCCTCCAATTCATAGAGATCCGCCTGCCTCTGCCTCCCAGTCCTGGGATTAAAGACCTGTGCTACCACGCCTGGCTTAAAATGCTTTCTGTTTGTTTGTGTTGTTTTGTTAAATGATAATCTGTTGTTGTTCTTTGCTGTACATTAGAAGTTGTCTGGTTTCTTTCATAATGCAAAATGTTTGGGTTTTATGTTGGAAAAAAATTTTCCCTTTTTATTTAAGCATCCAAAAATGCAGGTTGACAAATAAGACCTTAAGTTCTTTTTCTAGTTGTCTTCCTTGGTGTAGATCAGATAGTGATATTTTCTCTATTATTCGACCTTTCTGTCAAACTGAATTAATAGTTCCCCAAAATGAGTTTGATGTTCATAGTCAATCAACATGAGAGAAACTAGGCTGGGTGAGAATAGGGGAATTCAACCACTGTGAACTTGTTTTCTGGTCAAGGTCTACAAAACCAGCTTTCTCTGTCTTTACAACTATGGGCCATTATGAGATTAAAAAAAAAACAAAACAAAAACCTGCCCTCCTTTAACATCCAAGTTAAACTGAAGAGGGAAATTTTGCTTTTAAAGGAGGCATAAATTTTCCTCTTAAAGTAGTATGTATAAGAAATGTACAACAAGCCGGGCGGTGGTGGCGCACGCCTTTAATCCCAGCACTCGGGAGGCAGAGGCAGGCGGATCTCTGTGAGTTCGAGGCCAGGCTGGACCGATAGCCCCCGAAACAATACAGAGAAACCCTGTCTCGTAAAAACCAAAAAAAAGAAAAAAAAAAGAAATGTACAACAAAACAATATAGAGAAACCCTATCTCGTAAAACCAAAAAAAAAAAAAAAAAAAAGAAAAGAAATGTACAAGAGGGCCGGGTGTAATGGGGCATGCTTTCAGCACCAATAGTTGGGAGGCAGAGGCAGGCAAATCTCTGAGTTTGAGGCCAGACTCTTCTACAAAGTGAATTCTGGGACATCCAGGGCTCTCAGAGAAACCCCATGTTGAAATCCAAAACAAAACACAAAGTAAAAGGACTGGGTATAGTTACACATAACTCTTAATTCCAGTATTAAGGAAGCCGAGACAGGAGAATCACCTGGACTGTTCTTGTCAGAAAGCCAAAAAGAAACAAAACAAAACCAAAAGCCCCTAAAACGGAGGAAGGAATATCATTGTATAGACAGGCTAGCCTTCAACTCACTAGGTAGCCCAGGCTATCCTATCTCAGTCCGAGTGGAATTCTTCTTGGCAACACCGATCCCACTTAGTATCGATGTGCTCTGAATTCTGGATGCAAGCTTTCTCTGAGTCTTAGTAAGGCTACGGTGATCGTGAACTAGGCTCTGTAAAGCTGGGCTTGATGACACACACCTGTCAACCCAGCACTTAGCAGAGTTGGGTGTTTAAGGCCAGCCTCGGATACAAAGAAGTTTCAAGGCCAGCCTAGGTTACATGACATCCTGCCTCAGACAACAGAAATAAAACAAAAGTTGAGGCTCTTGTGGTTTGACACCCCAGAAGTCTGGTGTAAGCCCTAGAAGAGATGTTGGCAGAAAAGCCAAGCCAACACAGGTCTGAAACTCCCTTTTAGTAGACAGCTTGGTCAAATACAACAGGTCTCTTAGTAGATGGAGTAAGGCAAAAATATAGGGCCAGAATGACTTAAAAGTGACCTTTTGTGATTTTACATACTGTGGAGTATCTTATGGAGAGGGTTACAGCTGTAACTCCTACGTGCCACCTGGGAACAGTATTAGTTGTATTGTCATCACAAGAACGGTTGTTTTCCTTTATTTTGTGCCTTAATTACCTTGACTCCAAAAACTTAGAAAGCTTTTTTTTTTTATGCCCCCTCTGAGCTTCTTTTTCTGCCTCCCAGCTGTTTGCTCTCGGTTTTTGTTTAGTGCAGAACTTCCTGCGCATTTCCCTGTAAAACCCAGTCTGGTTTCACTCCCCTGCCTTTGGGTTGTTTCATACCTGATTTGAGTCATTTGGGATGCCTCTTCGTAATTTTTATATTTGTCTTGTGACTTTGTTTTTCCCTCTCCAGGCGACAGCCCTGTACCACATCTGAAATTTTCCACTTTTGTTGGGTGCTTTTTATCTATGCAAAAGGTAAGAGAAGAGTAATATTTATTTATTTGGATAGGAATTAGCTAACCTACATTTTTAGGTGCTGATTTTTCAGCTGTGTTGGGTGTCAGAAAGAGAGCCTCACTTTCATAAGGGGATCTTTAGACTATTTTTACAGTGTTCACATTCCCTCATATTAAATGGCATACCCTGTGTTTTACTCTTGTTCCACATCTCTTTGATGCGAAGCTGTTCTTTATCATTGTGAGTGGAACCACCCCACTCTGTATCAGCTTGTACCTGGGGCTCTGCTCTTCATAGGCTATGTCTGATTTGCCGAGTGGGACTGAAGTCCTCAGGGTAGTTCTGATGGCTTTCTGCATGTCCACAGGTAACATGTCTAAACTTAATCGGATACTGAGAACCTTTTTCTCTCCTCTTTTCACTGCATTGCTCTATTCAGGGTTTCCATACACTGAAGTACATCTCCATTACTTTGGTATGTTCTATATAGGGATAATTCTTAACATTGTAAGGAGAAGGCATAGTTATACTCATTATCTTTCTCTCTCTAGACTGTGGCATATGGCTGCCACTAAGATAGTTCAATAAGATGCAAATTGTCAGAACTGGAAGGAGCTCCATGTATCCTGTAGTCTCACCCTTATGTATTCAGGGCACATTCTAAGACCTGAAGCCAAAGATAGTTCCAACCCCTGTACAATATGATTCTTGCTATGCATAGGTACAAAAGTTTAAATTACACATTGGGCACAATAAGAGATAATGACATCAGTGATAATAAGATGAGAGCTGTTATGCTGGTATAGTACAGGTTATATAAATGTTTTCTATCAATTATCTTATTGTACTCTAAATCTTAGCAGGATCAGCATATGACCCTTTTAAAGATTTACTTTTGTTTTATATGTATGGATTCTTTGCCTGCATGTATGTCTGTGTACCATGTGCATTCAGTACCAGAGGAGGTCAGAAGGGTGCATCGGATACCCTGGGCCTGGAGACAGAGATGGTTGTGAGTCCTCATGTGGGTGCTGGGAGCCAAACCCTGAGTCATCTGAAAAAAGTGGCTGGTGCTCTTAACCACTGAGCAATCTCTCTAGCACTTATAAGACATTTTTATTTAAATTAAGGTCACTCATCTTTTCATTTCATGGAAACACTTCCACTTTTTGGCTTTCTTTGGCAAGTTGCTGCATTACTTTAGGGTCATTGTTAAGTAAAATACAGATTGCTTGAATAAAATCACTGCTGTATGAAGACAGTAGATCAAATAACCATGAAAGCAACTAATTGGCTAATGGATACATAGTGTATTCATCCTGGATATGCAGAACACAGAGATAATTAATGTCCCAGGTGGCACAGAGCTGGACAGAGCAAAAAAAAAATGCCATGTTAAACTTAGTTTTTATTTGTCTGAGGCTTACTATGTAGGCCAGGCTGACCTAGAACCTGTGACCCTCCTACTTCAGACTCCCTAGTCTTTGATTACAGATGTCTCTGCCTATCTGAGAATTATTTCTTAAATTTTCCATTTGATACTTTGGTCTGTTGATCAAGCAAAACCATGGGTAAAGGAAAATTACTGTGTAAGAGATTCCCTTTATCAGATCAAATATCTCAACTGACTCATTTCAAGGTTAGGCAACTAAAGCCCAGAAATGTTAAGAATAACGCTAGAACGGGATCCAGATCTCCTGTCTCCTGGTTTGATGCTGAATGGGAAGGTGTGGTCTCCAGGTGTGATGTGATTGCAGCTGGTCCTCTCTAACTCAGGAGAAGAGTCCTCCATCCTTATCTGAGCTGTATGCCCAGCTGAAGGGAGAGTCTTTATGAGCTTTTAAGTTGTGTTTTCCATAACAATGATGTTGGCAGCTTTCCTTAGTGCTTTCAGAAGCGACAGATGTGGCCCAACAGTGGGGTGCATGCTTAGTGTGCCCAAGACCCTGGACATGATCCTAAGCACCACAGATATAAAACAAAATAAAATAAATATGACATAAATCAATGACATAAATTAAAATCTTCGGTGTATATAAACTTTCTGTGAAGGCTGCCATGTTAGCTTGTGTTATGGGTATTACATATGATAGCAATCTTAAGATTGTATTGGATAGCTGTGTGGCTACTAGGATTTTAATCTATTTTGTGTGCTTAGGAGCAAATGTATTTGCTAATTTATAGACTATTAAAATGGTGGCAGAGTCTCACTTGGCAGGAGATACCACACTTAGATTCTGAGAGTCTGTCTCTGTTGTCCAGGCTGGGTTAAAACTTCCAAATGTTGAGTTCAGGTGCACAGTGCAGCTCAGTATGACTTCTGTGGTGTGCTTGGGTTTTCTCATGGGTAGCTTAATTGCTTTCATTTAGTGCTTGGTTTATTTGTTAGGAAGACAGACTGTGCCTGCAACATATGGATGTTTTAGATCATCTTATTCTCAATAATGAGCTAATTATTTGTATGTGTGTTGATTTGGTATGGCAAGTGACATGAAGGGCGTTTTGAGCAGAAGACTACTTCCTGTTTTTATAAAAATCACATTCCTGGGCAATAAGCCAAATCTTGTGGTTAAGTCTTTCCATTTTTCTGTTATCTCTTGATTAAACAATAAAATAACCTATAAAGTAAGGTCCATTTGTAAGGTCAGAGTTTGAAATGGCAACTGTGTCGTGTCGGGACTGTCCTGGAATTCCATTAGAATGCACCGTTAGGAGCATGTCAGCCTTTGGTTAGGAGTTACAGTGCTACCGTTCCTTCCTTCTGCAGCAAGTACATGCAGGGATAAGTTTAGGCTTGCCAGTGGCGGCTTTGTAGCTTATAACTAGTAGGTGTGGCTTCCTGTTTAATGTACAAGAGTAGATTTTCAATATTTGACCTTTTATAGTAGAGGCAAACAAGTTAGCTGGATTACATCAATGCAGATTTCAATCTGTTAGTGACCATTTGCCTTTCTGACTGCAGCAGGGTTTTATTCATTTATTGCTTTAACTTATCCCCCAAAGAAAAGCCTCATATATCCTGAGACCTAAGGTAGGTGGTAACTTTCTTTGGAAGGAAGCAAAGGGGCAAAGTCTAAGACAGACCCAACTGAGACAAAACCAAGTGTGTGTGTTGCATGCCTTTCACTATGTGAGAAAATGCAGAGGCATGACAACAGCTCTTCAGGCAGATACTCCACAGCAATGTAAACGGAGTTGTTCAGTATTCTTCTTAAACCAGCACTGCATGAAGGGCATGTTTGTAGGCTTGGGCTTATATTTTTTTTGCTACAAGCACTGGCAGTTATCCTTGGGATAATAGCTTTTGAAGTCAAATGTCTGTATTTGTGTTCTATTGGATAAATGTGTATAAACTTTTATTACTATATAGAAAAGTATTTAAAAGGTTAGCATTAGGGCTTTGAAGAAAGGCTCTCTTCTCTTTTTTTGGGGGGGAGGGTGGGCTTTGGGTTTTTGAGACAGGGTTTCTCTGTGGCTTTGGAGGCTGTCCTGGAACTAGCTCTTGTAGACCAGGCTGATCTTAAACTCACAGAGATCCGCCTGCCTCTGACTTCCGAGTGCTGGGATTAAAGACGTGTGCTACCACTGCCCATATCAAGGCTTTCTTCTCTTTAGAGTATGTATATGAGAAAAATTGTACAGGAATCATTTTCCAGTGGTTTTCTTCCAAAGCTTTTTATTAATTTTCACTGCAACAAAACTTTTTTATGTAAAATAATTTATTACAATTTAAGAGAGTTGGCAAATATCTTGTGTGTTCAGAATCCCAAAGACTAGACAAGTAATAATTAAAGTTTTAGTTACTAGACACTTAATAGATGCCTATTAAATGTATATTGAATTTAAGTAAAGTTTTAGTTTTCATTAACTTCTTAGACATATATTAAAATATCAGTCCCCAAAATGTTAATTTGCCAAAATACTTTATCACTCTTGAACCAACTTAGTATAATAATATATGGTGTCATTATAATAAAAGGAAACAATTTAAAAATATTGTTTAGTGGATGCTGATTTAACTTCGTGACTTTGTCTAACCCTATAGGCAACTTCCCCATGATCAGTGATGATTTGGTGAACTCTTACCATCTTCTGCTGTGTGCATTAGATCTAGTTTATGGAAATGCCCTACAGTGTTCTAATCGTAAAGAACTTGTAAACCCTAATTTCAAAGGTAAGTTTATATGTGAAACATTCTTGACAGCCCATATTTCTACAAGAATTTTACTCTTGGGAATTGTATCCCCAAACCCAGCTTTTCTAGCATCAGAGATGTGAGTATTGGAACACTTCCCCACCAGAACCACACAGAGCCCTTATACTCTTCAGCATGTCTACATTTCCTGAAAGTTTTATTTAATTTTATGTGTGTGGGTGTTTTGTCTGCATGTGTGATTGTGTACCACATGTGTGCCTGGTGCTGTCAGAGGCCAGAAGGGGAGTATCAAATCCTGTGGAACTGACCTTGCAGATGCCTGTGAGCCATGGGTGCTGAGAATTGATTCCAGGTCCTCTGGAAGAGTAACCAGTGCTCTTTACCTGCTGAACCATCTCTCCAGTCCCTAACCCACCCCCTTTTAAAAACAAAAGCAAATATCACCACTAAAATACCACTTAGTCTTAAATGAGAACTTTAGAAGGTTTTGAAAAATATATTGAAAAAAAGAAGTAACTTAGAAACTCAGAGTATCAAAGATAACTCTAAAGACATGATAGCATTTTTCACTGTTAGCAAGTTTTGTGCACTCCAGGTAGCATAAAAGCTTTTACTAAAAGAATGTAATTTCAGTCTTTTTGCTACAGTAAAATGAAATTCTAAAATAACAAGTATGAGAAGCATGTTCATTTTGGCAATGCATATACTATACTTTAAATTATGTAATTGCTGAGCCATACATGTAAATCCTGAGAATGTACAGTCTGATCTTTCCTGCTGATTCTGTTTGAAGAACACCATGGAAGAATTCTGATTGTCAGTTGGGGCACAGTTTCAATTAGAATTTCAACTTCCCTATCAAGGTTGATTTCAGAATTAGTAGAATTAATTACTACAATTACCTGATGCTATAAAGGTCTGAGTTGTGGGGCTGAAGATAGAGTTCTATGACAGACTGCTTGCCTGACCCTGATCTTCCATACTATGGAACAAACAAAAAAGTAGAAAAACAAAACAAAAACAAAATTTGAGATTCTATATGAGATTCCTTTGATTATTTTCATCTAATAAAGACAATGCAGATATCCCGAATTCCAAACAACTGCACTCTAAACCTTCTGGTCCAAGCATTTTGGACAAGGAACAATTGACCTTTACCCTGTCTGTACTCCTCTCCTCCATTTCATTTTATTCTTTTACTTTATTTTTACTGGGAACTGAAACCAGGGCACCCTAGTCCTATGATGTATCTCTTGCTTCTACTTGATATTCTTTATGTTACCCAATCTATTTTTTAATCTCCCTTAGTTTTCTTTGAAATTTTTATGTTCTTATGAAAGACTACACAATCAATTAGTATAAATACATCTAATATAATCAAGTCAAAGTAGTTAATCTTTGAACTATGTAATTAAAACAGTTGTTACATGGGAGGAGGCATGTTCATGCCACAGTACACAAGTACAGGTGAGAGACCAACTTGAGGGAGTCAGTTGTCATGGAGACCAAACTCAGGGTGTCAGGGTTGGCAGCGAGGCTTTACCTAATGTGCCATCTCACCAACCTGAATTCTGTGATTTAAAATAATAATAGTAATTATTATTATATTAATAATAATTTTTTGAGACAGGGTCTCTGAAGCTTGGGCTATTGTGGAACTCACTCTGTAGAACAGGCTGGCCTTGAACTCACAGAGATCTACCTGCCTCTGCCCCTGAGTGCTGGGATAAAAGGTGTGAGCCACCATATTGACAGAACTGTGTAACTTTTTAAATGGTGGTTTTTTTTTAAATTTGAATGTAAGGCTTATTTGCATAATATAGTTCTTATGTTTTCAGATATTCCTACAATAGGTTTTGTTTTTTGTCTTTTTAATATTCTAATAATCTTTAGTCACATAACAAATCTTTTGAGTGGTGATGTACTTAATCATCATCTCCATTTTAAAATATCTTTAATTTATAATGTATGTAGTCATTTCTTTATGTGAGACAGGATGCTATAGCTCAGGCCATCCTTCCAATTCCCGACAGTTCAGAGCACTGGAGTATAGGTGTGAGGCAATGAGCTAAAGTGTCCTCTTTTGTTTGTCTGTGCCAAGGATACTGCACATCCAGCCCTCTCTTCACTTATTGATGTATACATAAATTAGTTACACATGCCAATCATATCCTGACCAGACTCACGAATATTTATGTTTCAGTGTATTATATGTTAGCTAATTGATGCTGACAGTGTCTCTCTTTTGTGAATTTATACATCATAGGCCTGTCAGAGGACTGTCACCCTAAGGATTCTAAACCTTCCTCTGACCCACCTTGTGTCATTGAGAAGCTGTGTTCCTTACATGATGGTCTCGTGTTGGAGGCAAAGGGAATAAAGGAGCATTTCTGGAAGCCCTATATTAGGAAACTCTTTGAAAAGAAGGTTTGTAAGCAATGATGTAAGAATGCCTTCTGGATAAAGACTTGGTTGTATGTAATATAAGGACCCCTCTTTTCATCATAGCTCCTCAAGGGGAAGGAAGAAAATCTTACCGGCTTCCTGGAGCCCGGCAACTTTGGGGAGAGTTTGTGAGTAATATGCTGCAGCCCTGCTCTGACACTAAGTTACCTGTGAGGACACCTCAGTGCCTGGCCTTTGTACTGCTTGTACTCAGGACATTTTCAGTGCTTTATGTAGAACTCAGAACACAATAGTTCTGGAAGCTTCTACTTTAAGTTCATGTCTTTAACCTCAGTGAAGTTTGTTTTTGTTCTGTTTAAAATTTTATTAGTCAAGAGTTTAGATTATAAATTTTGAAATTAAGAAATGTTTTTTGTGCCGGGTGTGGTGGCTCTCACCTTTAATCCCACCACTCAGGAAGCAGAGGCAGAAAAATCAGAGCTCAAGGCTACCCTGGTCTACAGAGCTAGTTCTAGGACAGCCAATGCCACACAAAGAAACCCTGTCTCAGAAAACAAAAAAAGAGAAAGAAATGCTTTTGTACCTAGCTTTCAGGGTACGCAACTGACGTCTCAGCACTTGGGGCCTGAGGTAAGAAGACTGTAAATTTAAGGGTACTTTGTTTTCTTAAAAAAGGGGGGCTGGGGGACAGAAGACAAGGTTTTGGAACTATAGAGGTGACAAAAACTGGCAGTACCAGGTCTTCAGAGGTGCCAAGAACAGCTGAGAAAGTGTTCCTACATGATCATATTCCAGTTATATCTCACTAGGCTCAGTATTGTTTATACTCAGTTTAGTATAATTTGGCATATTGGATACTTATTATCACTTGCTATTATTATTAGCTTATTGGAGGCAGGTTGGTTCAGGGTCCTTCCTTGACACGGTATTGAAAATCTGTGACAGTGTGTGCTGGACATGCAGAGTAAAGCAAGCTACATCTTCTCTTCAGTTTTTGTAATGAGCAATTATTCCATTGAAATGTGATTTTGAGAAACTTACCATATTTTATAGTAAAAAATGAAGTAAGTGGTGTAGAACATGAGCTGAAATGGTGGCCCTGTTTCCCCATAGTAAGGCTGTTAATAAGGCTTATGAAGAATATGTGTTAGCTGCTGGGAATCTGGATGAACGGATATTTCTTGGCGAGGACGCTGAGGAGGAAGTTGGGACTCTCTCACGGTGTCTGACTGCTGCCTCAGGTACAGAGAGTGCTGAACGAATGCAGGTGAAAGACATCTTGCAGCAGCATCTTGACAAGGTGAGCCCTGCATGATGTAATGAGTGTGTTTCAAGGACTTGGGAGAGGTGGTGCTGGGACAAGAGGAAAATAGGCTTCTGTTTTATTTTCATATTTCTGTGTGTGTGTGCATGCGTGCGTGTGAGTGTGTGTGTGTATGTATGTATGTATGTTAAATGATGTGGTAAGGAAAAGAAAATTCAACTTATCTTATTGACTTTTTTGTTGTTGTTATTTAGTACCAACTTCCAAAGGTTTTAGTTAGGTCTGAGAAGAGCATTGACTTAATCATAACAGATGTGTCCTGCTGGCAGTCTTTGCTTTTGGAAAGATGAGCTGTAGTATGTACTCTGCACAGAGGACACAGGAGGTATTTAGAAAATACCAGTTAACCATAATTGGGGTCTGTGGATCCGTAGTCAATCTTTAAGAAAATGCTGTTGAACTGAAACCAAATTTTAGGATGATGAAAACTGGTGGCTGTCTTTTTCCCTTCCCTATGACTAAGAAGCTTCAGACTTGACACTGGTCTTCTTGTTCTCTCTCTCTCCTCTTCTTCTTCTTCTTCTTCTGTTTGTTGTTGAGATGGGTCTCACAGTGCATTCCAGGTTAACCTCAAATTCATAGCAATCATGCTTCAGATGCCTAAGCACTGAGATTATAGATACGACCCACGATTTGATAATACTCAGATGTTTTTATATAGTAGGTTATGTTCTGGATCCTTGGAAATATAGCAGTAAACAAAACAGCAGCAAATAGCCTGTCCCAAAGAAACTTAAATTTTAGTTTGGGAATCTAGACAATAGCTAACCAAATAATTAAACATATAATATGTTGGATGAGAATACATGAAGGCAAATCAAATTGATAATACAGAGAGTATTGTGAGTGGGGCAGAATGGATGGTCCTTGGGGTCCACTATAGACATGGTGACTGGAAATGTCTCTAGGGGTTATTGAGGTAATTTCTGAGATAATTGAGGAAACAAGCCTTGGGTATAGACAGGGAATAGCAACCGCAAAGATATGAGATAAGAGTATATCTGATGTTGGAGGCATGATGAGAAGGCCTGTGTAGTAGAACATAGTTCACAAGGGAGGAGTCTCAAGATAAGGGTACAAGGAGTAGGAGACAAGGAGGTCATTTAGTCTTTGGAAGTCATTGTAAGGACTTTGGCTGTAGTTGAGATAAAAGCTTTAAGAGAGTATTTGGAAAGATGACCCCTACATGATCTAATGAATATTTTTAAAGGTCCTGGGAGAGGTGGGGTCAGGGCAAGAGGATGCTAAGATGATATTTTAGCAACTCTTCATGGTTTCTTAGTTTATGGAAACATTTGTATTTGGACCACATTTTAGAGCTGGTGCCCACAGGACTTACTGGCATTTGGATTATGTGTATCAGATAACTAAGCCAATGATCTTCATTGGGTGAATGACAGAAGTGCAGGTCCTTACAAATGCCCATGAGGTCCTCAGTGATCTGGCCCTGTCTCATACCCTGTTCTCCTCACTTTTCCACCTCTTTTTTCATTCTTCCCATATGCCAAGCATGCTACCAGCTCAGCCTTTGCCCTTACTATTGTCTCTGCTGATGTGGCTTGCTTCCTTTTTTTGTCCCTTGATAATTTGATTCCTGTAAAATAATAGCCCAATACACCCCCACCCTCAAGACTTCTGTTTCTCGTACTCTGCTGGTGGTGCTCTCTTAGTATTATGCCACCTGACAGCAAGTAAGTAGGTGATTGAGCTGTTTGTTCTGTCTTTCTGTGTTATACTGCAAGCTTCAGGAGGGATGCAATATGAAGTGCTTGCCTATAGTGCTTATCCCTAAAAGCTTATTGTTGCTGTTTATCAAGAGGGAAGCTCGAGGAGTCTGGAGTGGATTTAAAGTGAGAGTTATTAGCACATTCCACTTGAGATGTCTTTTGGGGATCCTAGTTAACTCACTGAGGGGCCGCGTAGAAATGTATTACTGCAGCTTCCCAGAGAGGTTGGAGTTGTGGTTGTTTGTTCTGGAATCAGCTGGGCATGAATGGTTAAAATCACAAAATGAAGATTCCCATCAGTGAGCTGTTGAAGAATAAAGATCTAAAGGCAGAGTTCTGGAGCACACCAAATCCTGTCTCTATGTCCTAGTTGTTGTTTTGGTTTTTTGAAACAGGATCTCTCTATGTATCCCTATCTGTCCTGGAACTCTCTGTAGACCAGGCTGGCCTTGAACTCACAGAGATCTATCTATCTCTGCTTCTCAAGTGCTGGGATTAAAGGCATGTGCTACCACACCTGGCCTAGTATTTTTTATGTCAGCTCTGTATTCATACCTGAGTTAAAGGGCAGTGTCCTCTAAGTGAGAATGCACAGGGGACTGCAAAGCTAAGCCCCCTATCAGTACCACAACACAGGGAAGCCCCAAGGTGACTTTGAAGACTTTGGGCAGGAAGCTGTGGTGATCACACCTAGTGTCTATGAAACCACTGCTACTTGTGAGTGAGATTGTTTTATGTATTTATAGCTGCTATGACTTCTTTCTCCTTCCTTCCTTCCTTCCTTCCTTCCTTCCTTCCTTCCCTCCCTCCCTTTCTTCCTTCCTGTCTGCTTTGGGGGCGGGTGTTGAGACAGAGTTTCTCTGTGTAAAAGCTCTACCTGTCCTGGAACTCCCTTCATAGACCAAGCTTACCTGAAACTCACAGAGATTCTCCTACCTCTGCCTCCCAAGTGCTGGGATTAAAGGAGCCCCACCACCGCCCAGCCTAGAACACATATTTATTTCTATTTAGTGATTTTTGTGTGTGTGTTTTTCTGTGTCCTGAGAATTGAATAGTTTGTCCTGTTGCTTGGTAAAAGCTTTTCTAGGCATCTTTAAAAGTCTAGGATAAATATATTCAATACTTGGGGAAAATATTAAATTTTAAATATTAAAAATGCTTAAACTAACAACCTTGTAGGGTGTCTTTGAAAAGTTAGAAAGGCTGATTTGCTAGGGTATATTCTCATGCTTAAATTCTTGGCTGAATATTTTTCATGTGTGTGTTCATGTTGGCTGCCTTGCTTCTCTGAAGACCTGTCTACTTGAGAAAAACTGTCATGAATTCTAGGAACTAAAGTCAGGAGATGACTGATGAGGACTTGCATCGTATCAGATTGTCCTTTTACTTATTTTTTGAACTATCTGCTTCTGAAGTAAACTGGACACACTGTCTTTATTTAGGTCAGATCCAAGTCATTGCTTACATGTGTCCATCTTTGAGTGCCAGTCCACAGTAGTGGACTGAAGTTGTGAAATCATGTTTCTCCACAATAGGAGTGATGGTCTTCAAGTTTGCAAGCATGGTTTCCCTTTGCCCTGAGCATGGGCTCTGAAGGAGAGCTAGTAGAGGGATAGACGTTTATGTGTAAGTGTACATGGTGCCATTGCACACAGCCCTACACTGGCATACACCTCATCTTTAAGACCCACTTAGCCGGGCGTTGGTGGCGCACGCCTTTAATCCCAGTACTTGGGAGGCAGAGGCAGGCGGATCTCTGTGAGTTGGAAGCCAGCCTAGTCTACAAGAGCTAGTTCCAGGACAGCCTCCAAAGCCACAGAGTAAACCCTGTCTCAAAAACAAACAAACAAAAAGACTCAAAGAGAGCTTTTAGTTGCCTAGAGTGCATATTGTTCTTTGGGTGAACATCTGTGGATAATGGAAGCTTGAAGTAAAATTGTATGTAAATTCCTAAAATGGTGATGTTTGAGATTTAAAATATGTTAATACAAAATCTCATTGTCTTGAATTCCTAATTGTGTTGTAACTTAAAGAAACTAAATTTTTCTCCTCTAGTCAAAAGCACTTAGAATCTGCACACCACTGACTGGCGTGAGTTATGCTCAGGAGAACAGCCCTTGTGTGACCCCTGTCTCCACAGCTGCATATAGTTTAAGTCGTCTTCACACCATGCTGAGTGGCCTCAGGAACACACCCAGTGAGAGGCTGGAACAGATACTCAGGTTGGTTATAGCTTCCTCTGCCTTCCAAGAGTTAGCTGTTGACCACTTTTCAATTTCTTACCATAAGTTTTCAGTATCCGTGCCTTAAGTTGCCCTTTTACAATCACGTTAATTGTATAGTTAGTGTTTATTAGTCAGTGAATGATATAGCAATATAAAATGTGTAAGTAGGCATGCATGATGGTATTTGTCTGTAATTCCATGACTCATGAGGCTAAGACAGGAAGATCACAAGTGTGAGGCTATCCTGGGCTGCAGAGTGAGACCCTACCTCACAAATAAATAAATAAATAAATAAATAAGCACTTTGTAAGAAGATATGTAAGTAGAAGACAGTCTCCTTTGCTCACATTTATTTAATATGGCATAGGAGACAGTAGCTACAGTAGACCCTGTATACTGACCTTAAAAAAAAAAAGTTTCATGTTTGTTAACAGCAAATGTGAAGGAATAGTACGAAGACTGACAACATCAAAAACTTGCTTGAGCCAGCACATGCCTGCATCCTAATATTTGGGAGTGAAAGCAGGGAGATCAGAAATACAAGGTCAGCTTCCACCACATGAGTTTGAGGCCAGCCTGGACTACCTAAAACCCAGTCTAAAAAGAGCCGCCTCACTCCAAACCAAACAAAACCAAGCAACCCAGCAAAAAACAAACAAACAAACAAAAAACAAAAAGCATGTGCTTGCATAAAATACAGTTCATAGATGAAATCTACTGTAAATAAAAATATAAAAACACTATATAGTTACTGTCAGTAAGGAAATTTACATACATCCCAACATTCAGGAATTCAGGAGGCAGAGGCAGAGGCAGGTGGATCTCTGTGAGTTCGAGGTCAGTCTGGTCTACAAAGTAAGTTCCAGGACTGGCTCCATAACTGCTGAGAAACACTGTCTGGAAAAACAAAACAAACAAAAACAAAAAGCAAAGTAAAAGTCTGGCATCATCCAAACCCCCACCAAAAGGTTTGTTATTTTAATTGTTATAAATTTTTTATTTTGTTTTACAAACTTTAGGGTTTTGTGTGTATGTGTGTGTGTGGGGGGAGGTTCCTTGTTTTTTTTTTTTGTTTGTTTGGGATAGGTCCTTGCTATGCAGTCCTGGCTGGTCTAAAATTCACTATGTATATAATTAAATTTATATGATCAAATTTAATTATATGCATGTATACGATTAAGTTAAGACATAGTTGTTTAAATATATAGTTGTTATAATTAGATCATTTATATGTGTGTATGTGATAAAATTAAACAGTTGTGATCAAATTAAAACAGTTGTTATAAGATCCCCAAAGCTAATGATTTGTATTATGCTTCTGCATTGAACACATATTGCTAATAAAAAAAAATCTGTGAACAAGAGGGTGAAGGAGAGGGTTCAATGGGTAAAGTGCTTGCTTTATATGAGAATCTGACTTTTATCCCTAGCTCCCATAGAAAAAACAGTGTGGGGGCACAGGCATGTTACCTCAGTGCTAGGCTGGTGACAGGTGAGGCCTGCTGGCTAGTCATCTTAACCTAATCCGTGACCCCCAGGTTCCCAGTGAGAGACCCTGTTGTAGCTGCAGTTGTATATCTGCCAAGGAACAACCTCTGGGGTTGATCCCTGACTCCACACACATAAGCACATACTTGCACAGGTCCCTCATATGTGTGTGCCCATAAATATTTTAGCCAACTCACATACAAACACTCCACACACAGAGACTAAAAGTCAATTAAATAAATCTCATTTGGGGGGATTTTAAAAGTGCCAACATTGGCTTATATTTTTATAGTATAGGTTCTGTACCCCTTTATTCTAATTTTTTTCCAGGAGTTCTTTCTGGAAGTTTTGCTGCTCACTAGACAATCACTTGAGAGTAATTCTTTGCTCTTAATGATGGGAAATATAAGGCTGTGGGGTCTGTGCTAGCATCAAATGACCCCAGATCAAGTCTGCTGGACTTAGTGCAATAAAGTATGCAGCTCCATGCAGAAAATACTGCTGCCGCTTGAAGTAGTAATACCACCATCTTTGAAAACAAATTATGAGACTTCCTTCATTCATTTGCAAAGTTTATTGTGTTTGTTCAAAGAAATTTCTATTTATATGCTAATGAAATTTATAGTTTAGACATTCTCTTTGTGACTAAAATGTGTTACGTTAGATAATCTCATATTACTTTTTAGGACATGTTCCCGAGATCCAACTCAGGCTATTGCTAACAGATTGAAAGAAATGTGTGAAATATATTCACAGCATTTCCAGCCAGATGAGGATTTTAGTAATTGTTCTAAAGGTAAGATTTTCTATTGTCCAGACTGCTCCTCATTTAAACATCTGACTACGAGGAGTCAGAAAGACTAGACCTGTAAACTGAAGGCTATGGCGTAACTCTCCATCTTTTCTGTCAGTGGATGATTTCTGGGCCCTTTTCAGAAACAGAAAATTTAGTCTAGCATCTTTAGTATACTGAACTTTTAGCACTTTTTGATTTGTAAGTTTTCATTTGTAAGCTGGAAATAAAATATAAATATTTGGATTCTTCAGCATAGGAAAAACAAAGACCTGCACATCTTGAGTCTCCCTTCCCTGAAATGCATGGGACCAGCTTTAGATTGTTGCATATACAAAATAAAATATTTTGGACATGGAACGCAAATCTAAAGATAACAGCAATTTATGTTTTGTATATAGTCTAATCCTTACACATCACCTTTTAATGCACTTGTATTTGACTGACACATTTTGAGGCATGGTACTGATTTTTTGTTGTTGTTGTTTTGTTTTGTTTTTTTGAGACAGGGTTTCTCTGTGGCTTTGGAGGCTGTCCTGGAACATGCTCTTGTAGACCAGGCTGGCCTTGAACTCACAGAGATCTGCCTGCCTCTGCCTCCTGAGTGCTGGAATTAAAGGTGTGCGCCACCACCGCCCAGCTATGATATTGACTTTTAAAAAGTTTTAGATTTTTTTTTTTTGCTTTAGGAGTTCTAAGACCTAAAGCTAGTCTAGGTATTTCTTCATGTCATGAATCAGAACCAAGTATACTAGAATAATAAACCAGTGACATACCAGTTAATATAGTATTTATTAGTTAGCTCTTGTTCCTATGAATGCCTAAGATAATTAACTTCTAAAACAGAAAGTTTATTCAGCTCCTGGTTTGGAAGTTTCAGCATATGACTGAGCTACAGTACAGTTGTTTGGACCTCTGAGATGAGTTGTCATGGCAGACAGAATGAGGTAGTACATGCTCCTCAAGTGTCCAGAAGCAAGAACAGTGCAAGGAGCCCACAATCCCTTTAAGCGGCCATGACTCTGGTGACTTAATCACCTCTTAAAGGTCCCATTATCTTCCAGCAGTGCCAGTATGGGTACAAAAGCTTAAACATATAGGTCCTGAAGAACCTCCAGCACTAAGCCATAACAGCAGAAAACTGTTGTGTTCAGAATGATAATGTGTGTGTTTAATGTACAGACACTAAATTCTTTATTTGGTGTTTTCATGTCCATTTTAGAAATATGAAAATGTTAACATGAAAGATTTTATTAAAGATGCCAGTTTTGGAATTCACATTTATAATCCCAGTACTTGAGAGGCTGAGGCTAGACTCGTGATTAGAATTAAAGGCATCCTGGGCTACAGAGTGAGTCCCTGACTCAGGGAAAAAGGAATATTGAGAAATTTTTGTAGATAATCAAAACACCAACTATAGAAAGTATAGAAGACAGATGGCTCAGCATAGGGGTTCTCAACCTGTGGGTTGAGACCCCGTTAGGGTTCAGGTGACCCTTCATAGGGGTTGCATATTAGGTATATTCTGATTCATAAAAACAGTGAAATTACAGTTATGAAGTTGCAACAAGAATAATTTTCCTCCCACAACATGAGGAACTGTATTAAAGGGTCATAGCATTAGGAAGGTTGAGAAGCACTGGCTCAGCAGTTAAGAGCATTGGCTGTTCTTCTAGAAGACCTAGGTTCAATCCCTAGCATCCACAGAGTGGCTTATAACATCTGTAACTCCAGTCCCAGGGGATCTGATGCCCTTTTCTTGCCTCTTGGGCAACCAGGCACACACATGGCATACATTAAAGCAAAACATGCACATACATGAAATAAGTAAAATTAATTAAAATAAAAGAAAGTAAGGGTTTGGTTGTCAGATTGTATTTTGTGGATAGAGAAGGGAGGGATAAGTCTTTTCCATGATATTTACTTAATTTGTATTTAATTTTTGTGATTTTTTTATTTCAACAGAAATTGCCAACAAATATTTTCGTTTTGCAGAAATGCTTTACTATAAAGTATTAGAGTCTGTTATTGAGCAGGAACAAAAAAGATTGGGAGACATGGATTTATCTGTGAGTAAATAGTAATGTATTGATCACCACAGTAAGACATAGCTTTACCCCCACCCCTCACCCCCAACAAAAGAAATGATGTGTTCCTTTAGGGAATAATGTTAGCACCCAAGCAAACTTGTACACGGAGTCCTCTGACCATCTGATTAATGTAAGGTGTGTGGAGTAGAATAAATGAGTGATTCTCATTGTAGCAGGTCATACATTAATTATAACATTGATTTTAGAATAGGAGGATTCTGTAGATGTATTAATTACTTCTTTATTATTGTGATAAAATACAATGACCCACACAATTTATACAAGAAAGAGGTTTTTTAAATTAATTTTATTTAAATTAAAGATAATCTTATTTTACATACCAATCCCAATTCCCTCTCCCTCCCATCCTCCCTTTCCCCCACCATCTCCCCATCCCACCCCTGTCCACACCTCAGGGAGGGTGAGGCCTCCCAGGGGAGATCATCAAAGTCTGTCACAGAAGAGTTTCTTTGGTCTAACAGTTACAGCAGGCTAGAGTCCATGATGGCTGAGTGTAGGTACAGTGACAAGAACAGAAAGCTGAAGGCTCACATTGTTAACAGCAAACACAAGGCAGAGAGCAAAATGGGAATTGTGTAGGGCCCTCCCCCAGTGACATGTGGCTCAACAAGGCCACACTGCCTAAATCTTTCCCAAACAATACCACCAAAGGGACCAAGTATTGAAACCTGAGTGTATGACTGACATTCTCACTCAGACCACCACAGTAGTCAAGTACAAAACTACTCAGATTTGATGTTAGCAGGGTATTTAATAACATGGAGTTTTTATACAAGCCTGATAGAAGGAAAACATTGAATGTTGACTGGATGGGACTTCAACATACTTATTCAACCATTCTTTGGCTAAGGTGATTTTTCTTATATTTTTCTAAGCAAGAAATGTAAATAGCTAGGCATCATGACCTACCCCTTTAACCCTACCTATATTGGAGGCTGAATCAGGAGAATCACAATATCAGGGCTGCCTGGGCTTCATAACAAGTTTGAGGCCACCCTGTGCAACTTTGTGAGACCATTTCTAAAACTACAATAAGACAACAAGGGCTGGGGATGGATTTCACTTCATTATGACTTCTAGCATTGGGGACTATCACCAAAAAAAAGAAAAAAAGAAAAAAGAAAAAAATTTTTTCAAAAATGACCTTTAAAAAAAACCAATAAAATGCCTTGTAAGCACTAGTATCTTACATTTGTACATAATTTTATGTGTCAATTAAAAGTAGTCTCTTACAAAGATGAAGCAAGGCTAGGAACATGTAACGTGAGGGATATGTGCAAGTACTATATTAGTTTCATGGCTATCTACATTTGATTCACATTAAAAGAGAAATCTTTACAATTAAGAGTGCTAATTTTGAACCGGGTGGTGGCACATGCCCTTTAATCCCAGCACTCAGGAAGCAGAGGCAGGGTAGATCTCTGAGTCTGAGGCCAGCCTGGTCTACAGAAGGAATTCCAGGACAGCCAGGGCTACACAGAGGAACCCAGTCTCAAACAACAACAACAAAAAAAAAAAAAAAAAAGAAAAGAAAAGAAAAGAAAGAAAAAAAAAAGAGTGCAAATTTTGGAGCTGAAGAGATGACTCAGCAGTTAACAGCATTTGGTTGCTCTCGAAGAGGACATGGGTTCAATTCCTAGCATCCTCATGGTAGCTTATAACTCTTTAACTCCAGTCCCAGGATATCTGACTCCCTCTTCTGGTCTCCAAAGGCACCAGAGTACCAGAGACTGGTGCATAGAAAACATGTAGGTGAAACACTCATACATATAAAATCAATTAAAAAATGTTTTAAAGAGCTAATTTTTAAATTTTTAAAATGACATTTTTAAAGTTACAAAATAGGCCAATAATTGTTTGAATTCTTTGTAACTGTTTGCATTTATCTTTTTTCTTTTATTAAAATTTGAGACAAGATTTCACTCACTATGTGATACATGTAGACCTTCGACTTAGTATAACCCATGCTGGTCTTAAACTTCTAATCTTCCTGCCCTAGTCTCCCAAATGCTGTGATTACAGGAACATACTACTGTGCCTGACTTCCAAACATTGATTTGTTTATAATATTTTCTTTTTTTTAGATTTTATTTTATGTGTATGAGTGTTTTGCCTGCATGCTTATGTATATGCACCAGGTGTGTGCCTGGTACCTTCAAAGGTCAGAAAATAGTGTTGGATCCTCTGATAGTGGAGTTACAGATGGTTGTGAGCCACTATATGGATGCTGGTCACTGAAACCAGGTCCTCTGTAACAGTAACAAGTGCTCTTAACCACTGAGGCAACTCTAGCCCCTGTCTTTCATTTAAGTGTATGCGCGCGCGCGCGGCGCGCGCGCGTGTGTGTGTGTGTGTGTGTGTGTGTGTGTGTGTGTGTGTGTGGCTGTGTGGCTGTTTGCACTAAGGGGCTGCTTTATGACAACTCTGTGTTTGTGAAACACACACTGAATAGCATATAAACCATAGCTACAATTTAGGGACTAATATTAAGTATGAACTTGTATGTTCATCAAAATGGTCTCTTCTAAAATATTTTTATTATGGTGAAATATGCTTACAAAAGCATTTTTAATCATCTTGACTGGATGGGACTTCAACATACTTATTCAACCATTCTTTGGCTAAGATGTACATTAACAGTGGTTAGTAACCATCACCTCTGCCATCTCCTACCCATTCAACACTGATTTTCCCTTCGGCCTTTTCTCTAGCCCTCTGTGTCCTGTCTTCCAGCCTTTTGAGTTTACCTGTTTTAGGTTCCTCAGGTAGTTGAAATCATATTTGTCCTTTTGTGTTTGACTTAAGTTTGCTTTTCACTGTTTATCCATGTTCTAGAAAGTTTTACAGCTTCTTTACTCGTGTTTAAACTTTTGTTTGTGACTCATTTGTTGATAGACACTGGGATTGGTCTGCCTTTGGCTGTTGTGAGCAGTGCTGCTGTGAATACTGGTGTGCAAGGCCTCTGTTTTGAGTGCTTGCTTTTGGCCGTTTCGGGTTCTCTGTTCCTAGAATTAGAATTGGTGTATCATGCAGTAGTTCAGGAGACAGACCCAGAATCTCACATAGGTGAGGCAAATGTTCCACCATAGAGCTGCATCCCTAACCTCATACAGTAATTTTAAGTTTAACTTTCTGAGAGCCATCATACTGTTCTCCATACTAGCATTTTATATTTCATATTCCCACTAGCAATACTTAGGGTTGCAATTTTCTTATATCCCCAAAAGACTTGTTTATCATTTTAAAATACTTTTTAAAAGATGAGTGCATTTAAACTGACTGGATATGAAATGTGTTTTCAGAGTAGGCTACTGTTTCTAAATGTTATTTTTGTTTTATAGGGTGTTCTGGAACAAGATGCATTCCATAGGTCACTCTTGGCCTGCTGCCTTGAGGTTGTCACTTTTTCCTATAAGCCTCCTGGGAATTTTCCATTTATTGCTGAAATATTTGATGTACCACATTATCATTTTTATAAGGTATTTAAAAATTATACTGGTGATTACGAATGAGACCAACCTCTTGCTAGCTACTTTGTTAACATTAAACATGCAAATCTATTTTATTAAATATTTAATAATCTCTATGTAGGGAACAAAGGAGAAATGTAGTCTTAAGACCTATATAAATTCTTGTAATATACAGTAATATGGCAGATCTCATTTGGCTGAAGCATTCATCTGTTTTCTTTTACCATCTGCCAGAGGACTGCAGAATAGTATGATTGAAGAGCAAGATTACACCTATAATCCATACTTGGAAAGCTTGGACAGGGGGATTGCAAACTTGTCCAGGCTACACAGAAGTGCTGTCTCAGAAAGGAGGGAAGTAGAGAGGCAAGGATGGAGGGGTGAGAAGAGGGGACGCTGGCACTGGAGAGACAGCTCAGTCATTAAAAGCACCTCCTGCTCTTGCAGAGGACCCGAGTTCATTTCCCAGCTCCCACGCCAACTCCAGGTACAGAGGACCTGAAAGCCTCTTCTGGCTTCCTTCCCATCTATACACAGGGCGTAAAGGCACACATACATGAATTAAAAATAAATCCTTTTAAAACAGCAGCATTCAAGTCGTGAGTTTTAGGTATCTTGTATTAATGAAAGGTTAATATTGAAGATATCTTTCAGGAAAAATATTAATTTTCTATCATCCTACTTATTTATTTTTGAGACAGGATATCATCTGACCAGACTGACATCAAACTCAAGAATAACTTGAAAGTTTTGATTCTCTTGTCTACTTCCTGAGTACTAGGATTACAGGCTTGAGTCCCATACTCTGCTCATGCTCAGAGATATTTAATATTATTTTAATTTTGTTGATACTAGAAAGTGAGCCTATGGCCTTCAGCAGACAAGTACATACTCTATCTCTGAATTATACGTCCAGTCCCATGACCTAAAATTTTAAGAGTACTGTTTTTAAGCTGAATGTATAAAGTGTATTTTTGTTTATTAATTTTTAAATATACAATTGTACAAAATATTTTATATTATTCATATGTGTAGATTATTTATACAAATTATAAAAGGAAGAACAGCTTTCTACATGTGGTATTGCATTATTAAACTTGTCATTTCTGATTAATTGTGTGAATATTTTTAAAATATTTAGATGTTTCATTTTGCTTTTATTTCATTAATTTTTTTGTGTATTTTTTTTTTCGAGACAGGGTTTTCTCTATGTAGCCCTCGCTGTCCTGGAACTAGCTCTTGTAGATCAGGCTGGCCTCGAACTCACAGACACCCGCCTGCCTCTGCTTCCCAAGTGCTGGGATTAAAGGCATGCGCCACTACTGCCTGGCTCATTTTGCTTTTGTACTCATAAAACTTTTGCATGGAAAATCATAGTAATTGTTACTCAGTTAACCAGGGCATTTTCTTTATTTCAGGTAATAGAAATATTTATTAGAGCAGAAGATGGTCTTTGCAGAGAAGTGGTTAAACACCTCAACCAGATTGAAGAACAAATTTTAGATCATTTGGCATGGAAAGCAGAGTCCCCACTGTGGGACAGAATTAGAGATAATGAAAACAGAATCCCTACATGTGAAGAGGTTTGTGACAATATCTTAACATCTCTCTATAAGGGAAGCACATCAATATTGTTTACATTCCCCATGCTACAGAGAACGGTTGGAGCTGGGGTCTGCCCTTGGCAGACATGGGTTTGCAGTGTGGTTAATGGTTTATTCCTGTGTCAAAGAGGAAACAGAATCAGGTTCCTTGGGGAGCCTGTAACTGTCTTCAAGATTTCCATGGCAGTACAAATTGAGGCTGCTATTCTGACCCTCCAATCAATAAGGAACACTGGTTCAGATGTAGTTTCCAGTATCCTGTTTGAATCTTTTAAGACTGAAGATTTTAGTGTTAGTAATTTTATTGAGAAATAACTAATCAGACAAAAGTTGCTTCCTGTTGCCTTAGACTATTATTGTATTTCTAGTGAAATGCTTTTTTACTGTTAAGATTTTATGGAAACAATTCTTTGTAGGTAATGCCACCTCAGAACCTAGAAAGGACAGATGAAGTTTGTGTTGCCGGCTCTCCCCTAACCCCGAGAAGGGTGAGTGAAGTGCGTGCTGATGCTGGCGGGCTTGGAGGAGGTAAGTCTGAGACACTAAGAGGAGTCTTCAGTCTAGATGCTTAGATTTCATCTAACCCGTAAGTAAAGTGAATAGGCCATCCAGAGAAAGACTATTCTATGTCTTTAGTGATGTAACGGGCACTTAAAAATGCTTTTTTTTCTGGGCAAGAAGATTGGGACAGGCTCTTGTGTAGTCCAGGTTGGCCTTGAACTTGCTATGTAACTAGTGATGACCCTGTACTCCTAACTGTCCTCTTTCCAAATGCTGTATTCCAGGTGTGTACCACACACCTGATTTAAATATGCTTTTTTTTCTTTTTCTTTTCTTTTCTTTTTTTTTTTTTTTTTTTTGAGACAGGGTTTCTCTGTAGTTTTGGAGCCTATCCTGGCACTCACTCTGTAGACCAGGCTGGCCTGGAACTCACAGACACCTGCCTGCCTTTGCCTCCTGAGTGCTGGGACTTAAATATGGTTTTAAGGAATATTGTGAACATAAAAACATTTTTTGAGACATGGTTTGGCTGTATAGCCCAGGCTGACCTTGAATTCTACATCCTCTTGCCTCTACATTCCTGCTACAAGGACTACAGGAATGTGTCACCATGCCAGGCTTACAGGTATCTTTTTAGAACATTTTATGTTTAATTTGGTCTTCATTGGTAGGTGAATTTTCATCTATAAACATACAAAGGGAAAAAATGGGAAAAACAAACTGTTAACAATACTACAATGCTAACTATAGAATTCTCGTGAATTTTCTCATTCTTCCAAATATATCTTCCTTTTTATGGTTTTGTTTTGCAATGTTTATTAGCGATAGGAGTCTATGTTGGCCAAGCTGATTTTCAATCCTTTGTCCTCCTGACTCAACCTCTGGCATAGCTGGGAATATAGGTGTGTACCACCACACCTGACTGTTCTTAAAGATAGAGCTATGAGATCCGGCTAGATACAGATAAGCCAGTGAGATGGGACGGCCCCATGGCTGGACCATGTTCAGCTTTGTCACTGGAGCTGTGCTACTTAGGGTAATGTGACACCCCTACAGGTCCAAGAAGTACAGAAAATACAGGCTTATGTTTTAGCTGGCTCCTGAGATGACTGCCTAGGTGTAAGGTTTATATTTGGTATGGGAGTCTGCCTTTGATTTTCTTTCTGTTTCTCCCCCCTGGTGCTGGGACTCAAGACAGCAAAATGCAAAGTACACATCCTGCTATTGAGTACACCTCCAGTACCTCCTGCTCTGAGTACACCTCCAGTACATCCTGCTCTGAGTACACCTCCAGTACCTCCTGCTCTGAGTACACCTTCAGTACATCCTGCTATTGAGTACACCTCCAGTACATCCTGCTCTGAGTACACCTCCAGTACATCCTGCTCTGAGTACACCTTCAGTACATCCTGCTCTGAGTACACCTCCAGTACCTCCTGCTCTGAGTACACCTCCAGTACATCCTGCTCTGAGTACACCTCCAGTACATCCTGCTCTGAGTACACCTCCAGTACCTCCTGCTCTGAGTACACCTCCAGTATATCCTGCTCTGAGCACACCTTCAGTACATCCTGCTATTGAGTACACCTCCAGTACATCCTGCTCTGAGTACACCTCCAGTACATCCTGCTCTGAGTACACCTCCAGTACATCCTGCTCTGAGTACACCTTCAGTACATCCTGCTATTGAGTACACCTCCAGTACCTCCTGCTCTGAGTACACCTCCAGTACCTCCTGCTCTGAGTACACCTCCAGTACATCCTGCTCTGAGCACACCTTCAGTACATCCTGCTATTGAGTACACCTCCAGTACCTCCTACTCTGAGTACACCTTCAGTACATCCTGCTCTGAGTACACCTCCAGTACATCCTGCTCTGAGTACACCTCCAGTACATCCTGCTCTGAGCACACCTCCAGTACATCCTGCTATTGAGTACACCTCCAGTACCTCCTGCTCTGAGTACACCTCCAGTACATCCTGCTCTGAGCACACCTTCAGTACATCCTGCTATTGAGTACACCTTCAGTACATCCTGCTCTGAGTACACCTTCAGTACATCCTGCTATTGAGTACACCTCCAGTACCTCCTGCTCTGAGTACACCTCCAGTACCTCCTGCTCTGAGTACACCTCCAGTACATCCTGCTCTGAGCACACCTCCAGTACCTCCTGCTCTGAGTACACCTTCAGTACATCCTGCTCTGAGTACACCTTCAGTACATCCTGCTCTGAGTACACCTCCAGTACATCCTGCTCTGAGCACACCTCCAGTACATCCTGCTATTGAGTACACCTCCAGTACCTCCTGCTCTGAGTACACCTTCAGTACATCCTGCTCTGAGCACACCTCCAGTACATCCTGCTATTGAGTACACCTCCAGTACATCCTGCTCTGAGTACACCTCCAGTACATCCTGCTCTGAGCACACCTTCAGTACATCCTGCTATTGAGTACACCTCCAGTACCTCCTGCTCTGAGTACACCTCCAGTACCTCCTGCTCTGAGTACACCTCCAGTACATCCTGCTCTGAGCACACCTCCAGTACCTCCTGCTCTGAGTACACCTTTAGTACATCCTGCTCTGAGTACACCTTCAGTACATCCTGCTCTGAGTACACCTCCAGTACATCCTGCTCTGAGCACACCTCCAGTACATCCTGCTATTGAGTACACCTCCAGTACCTCCTGCTCTGAGTACACCTTCAGTACATCCTGCTCTGAGCACACCTCCAGTACATCCTGCTATTGAGTACACCTCCAGTACCTCCTGCTCTGAGTACACCTTCAGTACATCCTGCTCTGAGCACATCTTCAGTACATCCTGCTCTGAGTACACCTTCAGTACATCCTTCTCTGAGCAAACCTCCAGTACCTCCTGCTCTGAGTACACCTTCAGTACATCCTGCTCTGAGTACACCTTCAGTACATCCTGCTCTGAGTACACCTCCAGTACATCCTGCTCTGAGCACACCTTCAGTACATCCTGCTATTGAGTACACCTCCAGTACCTCCTGCTCTGAGTACACCTTCAGTACATCCTGCTCTGAGCACATCTTCAGTACATCCTGCTCTGAGTACACCTCCAGTACATCCTGCTCTGAGCACACCTCCAGTACATCCTGCTCTGAGTACACCTCCAGTACATCCTGCTCTGAGTACACCTCCAGTACCTCCTGCTCTGAGTACACCTTCAGTACATCCTGCTCTGAGTACACCTCCAGTACATCCTGCTCTGAACACACCTCCAGTACATCCTGCTCTGAGTACACCTCCAGTACATCCTGCTCTGAGTACACCTTCAGTACCTCCTGCTATTGAGTACACCTCCAGTACATCCTGCTCTGAGTACACCTTCAGTACATCCTGCTCTGAGTACACCTCCAGTACGTGCTGCTCTGAGCACACCTCCAGCTCCACGACTATTTTCAGAGAACCATTGTATAGTTCCAGAGAGCTCTGCGTCCATCAGAGTATTGTTATTACTAGGCCAGTTTTATACTGTACTTGCTATTAAAGGATCAGTTTTAAAGTCAAGTTTATGCTAAGTCAGTGCCATCTCAATGATCATAGATGATACAGGGTGTGATGCATACTCCTCTGTACTCAGCACTTGGAAGGCTAAGGTAGGAGGGTCTTAACTTTAAGGCCAGTCTACTTTAGCTACATGAGACCCTGACTCAAAATAGTAACAGATAACAGAAAACCAAACTAACTCATTAATTAAATGCTTTATGAAATTTTCTCACTTAAAATTGTTTTTAGATTTAAGTTTATGAGTGTATCACCTGCATGTATGTCTACACACCAGGTTTGTGCCTGTGCGTGAAGAGGTCAGAGGTGTTGGATCCTCTGTAAGTGGAGTTCTGGATGATTGTGAGCCACCATGTGGGTGCTGAGAATCAACTCCAGGTCCTCTGCAAAAGCAATGCTCTAAAGTGCTGAGGCGTCTCCAGCCCTTGCTCATTTCTCAAAGAACAGCAATAACTGTTTAACTACTTTCAGTCACACAGACCTGGTTTCAGATCTGATAAACTAATGTTTTCAGTCCCATTTTTGTAGTTTTTCCTTCCCAAGTCTATGAATTATAATTTGTCATTTACTTCTGTTTCTTTGTACTTATTAGCTTGTCTCTTTAAGAATCTACATGGTTGGGTCCACAGCTGTGTCCCAGGCTTCATGTGCACTTGTAATACAGGGAATGTTAAGAAACAGCTTTCAAGATTCACTCTTGTTGGTGTCTGTTATGATTTCCCTACTTTTATTTTTAAATTTGAAAGAGCTACTGTTATGCCGGTCTTATAGGTGAACATGGGAGAAAAGAATACATTCAAAAATGCACACAATAAAAATACTTAAACTAAGCCACAACAGTTACTTCTTGTTTAGAGTGACTAAAAAAAAGAGAAAAGAAAGTTGTTCTGAGCATTGCAGTGCACTTCTTTAACCCTAGTACTTGGGAGGCAGAGGCAGGTGAATATCTGTGAGTTCGAGGCCAGCTTGTACTAAATAGTGAGTTCTAGGTCAGTTAGAGTTACATAGAGACCTTGTCTCAAAAAAATGAACATTTAAGAAAGTGTTAATAGTTAAACAATGCTGTATATATGCATTTAAAATGACCAGTGCTGATAACATCATATCTATATTTTGTAACAATTTAAAAATTATCTAATATATAAGCAATTAAATGATATAACCTAGATGGATGAAATGTGTGGCACATGAATCATATCTCAATTAAACTGTTTAAAACTAAGTTTATTAAATCTAAACCACACATGTCTACCTTACTGAAGAAGATGGAATGTTAGTAATCTTCCCTATGTGGAAAAAGACAGAGAAATAGTCATAGAATCTGACGGAGAATGCTGCTGGATGACAAGTCATCATGTCTCCTGGTGAGGCAATGTCTTTGTTAAAGTTTGAGTATGGGAAGCCAGGCAGTAGTGGTACATGCCTTTAATCCCAGCACTCAGGAGACAGAGGCAGGTGGATTTCTGTGAGTTCAAGGCCATCTTGTTCTACAGGGTGAGTTCCAGGACAGCCAGGACTGTTTCACAGAGAAATCCTATCTCGAACCACCCACACACACACAAAAAAAATTGAGTGTGGTGGAAAAATTAAATGATTCATTAAATTACCTCTACATCAAAGTAGTAACAGAGGACAAGGTGGTAGAGGACAAAGTCTAGTTTGCTGTGTGGGAAGGAAGACCAAGAAGAAGAGAGTAGTATTGTGAGACAGGGAGCATTTCCTTTGTGACGTGCTTTCGCTTGAATTTTCACTGGAATAACTATGGTGTGCCATGACTTCTACACACTTTATCTGCTTTAAAAATTGTAAAGTATTTGAAACACTCTGTGTTTCCTTTTGAACAAGAGCTTAAATGGAAGTCAGATTTATTTCTGTGTTAAAGAGTCTGATTTCTTTTGATTGTAGGTATAACATCTCCAACCACATTATATGACAGGTACAGTTCCCCAACAATCAGTACTACTAGAAGGCGGCTATTTGAGAGCGATAGTCCCTCTGAAGGAGGTACATCTGGGCGCATCCCCCAACAACCCCTAGTCAATGCTGTCCCTGTGCAGAATGTGTCTGGGGAGGCTGTTTCTGTCACACCAGTTCCTGGACAGACCTTGGTCACCATGGCAACAGCCACAGTCACAGCCAACAATGGACAAACAGTGACCATTCCTGTACAAGGTAAGGAAGACAGAGTTAGGTATTGAGTTCTCTGGCATTTGTCAGAGAGTCACTTTAAGATCTGGAAAGAGTGTCAATACAAGATAGCAATGATAGACAATGGGGACGAAAGAAATGGAACCTCATGCGAACAATTCTTTTCTTCCTTTGAATAAACTGTAGGTATTGCAAATGAAAATGGAGGGATAACATTCTTCCCAGTCCAAGTCAATGTTGGGGGTCAGGCACAAGCTATGACTGGCTCTCTCCAGCCCCTTAGTGCTCAAGCCCTGGCTGGAAGTCTGAGTTCCCAACAAGTGGCGGGAACAACTTTGCAAGTCCCTGCTCAGGTGGCTGTTCAGCAGATTTCCCCAGGTGGACAACAGAAACAAGGCCAGCCTTTAACCAGCAGCAGTATTAGAACCCGGAAGACCAGCTCTTTATCACTTTTCATTAGAAAGGTAACTTTTCACATACCCTTACTGGAACACATACTTTGGAAGTGTTACAATGAAATAAGGTTTAAAATATTGCTGCTTCTCTGTTAGGTTTACCACTTAGCAGGTGTCCGCCTTCGGGATCTTTGTACAAAACTAGATATTTCAGATGAGCTGAGGAAAAAAATTTGGACCTGCTTTGAATTCTCTATAATCCAGTGTCCTGAACTGATGATGGACAGACATCTGGACCAGTTGTTAATGTGTGCCATTTACGTGATGGCGAAGGTGAGTGCACTCAAGACTGGAAAGGCAAAGATGCTGCTTGTTTCTCAGAATACTGCTCCTCCAAGACACGAGGCTTTACTGTAACAAATAACATTTAGACTCAGGCCAAAGGAGGAACTTCTGCCCCAAAGGCCTACTTTTGACTCCAGGATGTTTTTTTAAAATAAATTTATGTATTTTACATCCCCTCCCTCCTCTCCTCCCTTCCTAGGCTTTTGCCCACCCCCCCCATCCACTCCTCCATTTCTATTCAGACAAGGGCAGGTCTCCCATGGATATCAACAAAATATGACATACCAAGCTGCAGTAAGACTAAGCACTTCCCCAGTATGATTAGGGTCCCAAAAGCTGGCAAAAGAGTGGCAGACAATCCCTGCCTCCATGTTAGGAGTCGCATAAGAGGACCAGGCTACACAACTTTAACATATGCAAAGTGCCTTAGTCAGTCCCATGCAGGCTCCCTAGTTGTCAGTTCAGTCTCTGTGAGTCTCTGGTTAGCTGACTCCATGAGTTTTCTTGTGGTGTCCTTGACCCCTCTGGCTTCTATAGTCCTTTCTCTTCTTCTGCAGGATTCCCCAAACTCTACCCAATGTTTGGCTGTGGGTCTGTATCTGTTTCCATCAGTTGCTGGATAAAGCCTCTCTGATGACAGTGGGGTTAGGCACCAATATGGTCACAGGAGATGGCAGTTCAGGCTACATATCCACTGTTGCTAGGAGTCTTAGCTGGGGTCATCCTTGTAGATTCCCGGGAGATTCCCTTGTACCAGGTTTTTACCTGACCCTGATATGCATAACCCCCCTTTCTAATAGTCTCTTTCACTACTCTCCTCCTCTGCCCCCAAACCTGATCGCTCATGTTCCCATCCCCACCCTTCCTCAGTCCACTCACAAAATCTCTTCTGTTCTCCTTCTCAGGGATATCCAGGCATCCCATGAACCCCTCCTTGTTACCTAGTCTCTCGGGTCTGTGGATTGTAGCATAGTTACCCTTTATTTTACAGCTAGTATCCACTTCTGAGTGAGTACATACCATATTTGTCTTTCTCAGTCTGGGATACCTCACTCAGGATGGTCCAGAATTGAGACTTTACATTCCCAAGTATGTGCAGTCATCACATACTTGGGGTATAGAGTATTCCATTTAATAGCTACTGGTCCATATATTAATGGACATGTGGGTTGTTTGTGACAATTATGAAAAAACAATGTAGAATGCATTGTGGATGAGATTTTGTGTAGATACAGGCTTCCATTTCCCTCGGAGTGAATGCCTTGTAATGATCTGTGAATCGTATGAGAACTGTAAGTTTAAACATTGAGGAACTATCAGTGTAGGCGTCCAGTCTGTGGACCTGTAACACATGGAAAGCCACACCTCAAACTCCTCTCCACTTCCATCTGCCTGAAACCACACCCAAAGGGGTGTGGCCACCATTACAGTTCCACAGACCAGCAGCCTATATACCAGCCTACTTTTCAAAGTATGGTTCCATTTTATATTCCTATATGTAATATATGAAGGTCTTAATTCCTCTGCTTTATCATCAATACTTAAAGATTTATTATATGTGTGGAGGGGGGAGGGAGTCTTTCATTGCCAAATTTGAGGTCCAGGATCATGAAGCTTTACAACTGTCTTCTAAATTTTATAGTTTCTGACTTATCCCGAGATTCAAGCCCAGTTTCCCTTTTTGTGTTACATTCTGGTTGCCACACCATTAAATAAATGGTCTGTGGAATCAGTTATTAACATATAGGTTATATCAAGACTGTTAGTTTTATTATATTGATCTGTATCCATCATGCATAGTGTAGTACTATACACTCTTGCTTATTTGTAAATTTTGAAATTGGGAAATGTGAATCCTAACTTTATTATCTTTTCAGTAATTTTAGCTATTCTGAGTCCCTTGGAATTCCATACGAAGTTTAGAATCAATTTGTCACTGTCATAAAAGAGTCAATTGAAAATTTGTAGATCAGTTTGGGGAGTTTATTCATCTAAACTTCAGTCTTCATGAATAATGGCATGTTTTCACATTTATTTAGATCTTCAATTTTTAATAATTTTGTGATTTTCAGAGTGTAACTATTGCCTTTGTTAATTTTCCTGTTTTGATGATATATAAATGGAACTGTTTAATTTTTATGTTTTATTGCAAGCAAATGAGCAGTTGGGTTTCTCTATCTTGAGTTAGTATTCAGTGACTTTGATAAGCTGGTTGCCTTTTTTGGTGCAGGGATTGAACCCAGGGCCATTAAATGCTGGACAAGCTCTCTACACTCAGGTGAATCCCCAGTCTTGAACCTCTTAATCTAGTGGATTTTAATCATGTTCTGTGTTGACTTTTTTATGTGCAGATTATGCAGTTTTAATAATTCTACTACTACTTGTCCAAATTGCTTTTCTTTCCTAATTACCATGGCTAAGACATCCAGTACAATGTTAAAAGCAGAAATCTGTTCCTGGTCTTAGGGAGAAAATAACTAGTCTTTCACTATTGGCATTAAGTATATCCCCCCACCTCACCTGTATCCTCAGGTAGACTGCTTTAGTTCAGTGAAGAAGTTCCCTTTATCTTCCTAGCTTATTGAGTGCTGTTGTATTAAAAGGTGTTGAATGTTACTAAAGGTCTTTTTCTGTGTTCATTGTGGATTTTGGTATTTTAATGATGTTACATTGGTTGGGTTTCATGGTAGATCATTTGTACTCTTTGCAAATCCCTTTCAAGTATAGTGATAATTTTTGCTTTCATGTTTGGTTAACTAGTTTGTTGAAGAAATCTGTGATTTTCACAAGCGGTTGTCTGGAATTTTATTGCATGGCTTTGTCTGGTTCTGTCCCCGGGATAAATGTGGCTTTTCTTTTAGAAAAAGAACCGTTTCATCTTATTCTCTGTGAAGTTTGTATTACCAAAAAAGCCACGGGCGCCTGTTCTTTATGGTTAAGTTATTGATGAATTCAGCCTCATTCTTGCAGGTTCATTCAGGTCACCTCTCTTTTCTAGTCAGTTTTGGCAGTGTGCATCTTTCAAGACATTGTTTCTCCTGAGTCAATGACATATAATCGTTTTTGTTCTGTAAGGTCTATAGTAAGGTCCTCTTTCATTTCTGATTGTAGTAATTTCTTTTTCTTCGTCAATCTAACTAAAAGTTGGTAAATTTTAATAACTTTAAGACTATTTGATTTATTTTCTCTATTAACGTATACAATGGTATTATTTTCTTCTTTCAGTTTACTTTGGCCCTTTTAAAAATTGGATTTATTTGTTGTGTTGTGTGTGTGTGTGTATGTGCCGCACAAGGCCAAAGAACAATTTCCAAGGAGTTGGTTCTCTCTTTAGGTCATTAGGCCTGCCTCTAGCATCTTTACCCATTGGGCCATCTCAGAGGATCTTGGGTTTTTTCTTTTCCTAGTGTGTTAGATGGTTAGGTAACTGATTATAGTATTTTTTCGGTGTCTTTAAAAAAATAATATCTCAGTATCCTTTGCAAATATGGGCACTAACTGCAAAAGTGAGCATTCTATTAGCTGCATCTCATAACTTGGTATCATGTATGTTTATCTCAAATTACATTTGATTTTCACATGACTTCTATTTAACTTGTACAATCTGCAGGGCCATGTGACTTCCAGTTTTGTGAGTTTCCCAGACTTCTGTTGCTCATTTCTAGTTTCATTTCACTATTTCTGAAAAACACCTTATGCATTTCAGTCCTTTTAAATGTATCCAGAGTTTGTTTGCTTGATGACAAGGTCTCATATAGCCCAAAAGGAGCTTGAACTTCCTCCATTCCTAAGTGCTAGAGTTACAGGTGTGCACACATCCATGCCAGTTTACCCAGGGCTGAAGACTGAACACAAGGCTTGTGTGTGACAGGCAAGCATTGTACCAACTGAGCAGTGTTGCTAGCCTTCCACATTTGTTTACTGCCATCAGGGAAATAGAGTGTTTTCTAGATGTCTGTTAGGTTGAGTTGTTTAATAGACCTGTTAATATTTTCTCTTTGATGTTTTGCCTAGATCTTCTATTGTTGAAAGTCCTGTATTGAAAATTTTATGTTGTTAGATTGTCTGTTTTACCTTTCTCTGTTCTGGGGTTCATATATTTGGTGCTCTATTGATAGATACACTTAAGTTTATTACTTACAGCTTCTTGATGGTTTGATCCTTAATTGTGAAGTGAACTAACTCTTTAGTAATATTTGTGTTTTATATATAAATAAATACTAAACTATAGATACCCAGCTTTCTTTTGACTACTGTCTAGTTAACATATTTGTTGTTTACTGTCAAATATATTTGTATTTTTAAAGGAAAGTCTACCTAGACAATATAGTTTGATTATTTTTCCCAGTTTTACAACTTGGGTTTAATTCATTTGCTTTAATTGTTACTGACTATACTGCATTTGTTTGCCATTTTACTTGTTTTCTGGCTTTTTTTGTTTTTGTTTTGTTTTCCTTTCTGGTTTTTTTAATACATGGTTCTCTGTATAGCCCTGGCTATTCTGGAACTTGCTGTGTAGACCAGACTAGCCCAGAGAGATCCATCTATCTCTCTGCCTCCTGCTAGAATTAAAGGAATGCCACCATGCCTGGCTACTTGTTTTCTATGCATTTTATATACATGCATCCTGTTTTTTTTTTGTAGGTCTCTGTTCCTTTATTTCTCCTTTTCGCTTCCTTTTGAACTAGGTATTTTCTATTTTTTTTTTTTTGCTATATATTCTGCTCCCCACCCCTACATTCAACTTCTCAGAACTTAACTTCAAATGCATGTCAGCAAGATATACATGCCTTAGTGTTCTTTTTCCCCATTTATCTTTTTGTGACAGTATTGTTTACATATTTATATGTATCCCATTGGAAGTACTGCAAATCCACCATTACTTTGATTCAATGGTATGACTTTTAAAAGAGCCAGGAAAGGGCATGTTAGTATTTATATTTGCTGCTATATTAACCTTACTTACATTTCTGCTTATTGGTTCCTGTGGGTTTAGGTGGGATCTACAGTCACTTGTCTAATACCCTACCTACCTCCTTTATACACTTTTAGTAAATGTATATTTGTTATAGCTATGGCAATACATCATACACATTTTGTTTTATGTAATTGCTGTTTTTAGTTAAGGAGAATGTGTATCTACCCTGTCTTTACAGTATGTTAATGCTTTACAAGTGTTCCTGGCCCCTGTCATGTGTATTGTGTCACTTGTTTCTATGGCCTTTCTATGAGAGCTGCTGTTAGCAGCCGATTGTGTTCATTCACTTCAGAAAGATATTTTTCTTTTTGACCTTTTTGAATCTGTTGCTCCACCTGTAGTTTCTGACAAGAAGTCAGCTCTTACCTTACTTGAGTTTCCTGTGAAGGAAAAATGGTTTTCTTGGTGCTTTCTATAACTTTGCACCTTTTTACTATGATAAACCTGGTGGGAATATCGTGATTCAGTGTGCTGTCTGATGAGCTTCCTGAATGTGTACATTAATGTTTTAAAGTAACCTTGCATGCTCTCAGTCTTGGTTTGCCCCAGTGTCTTGCTATGAAGCCCAGGCTAGCCTGAAACTCATGATCCTCCTGCCCCTGCCTACCACAATGCTCAGCTTACTCTTTGTTTCTTGGAGCATCTTTCTTGCTTCTCTGCCTCTGTCCTCTTCTGGCACTCTTGTTCCAGGGATGCTCATGGGCCTCCTCATGCCCAGCAGGTTTTGGGGGCTTTCTTTTCTTCAGTTCTTCAGATAATATAGTCCTTAAGCAAGCTTGTTGATTTTTTTTTCTTTTCCAGTTCACATCTACCAACTTCACCTCCAGCCAGCGTTTCACTTTAGTTACTGTATTTTTCTACACCAGGTTGTGGCTTACATACCAGGCTCCTTACTAAACTTCAGGTTTTCATGAATAGATGGTTGTTCATTTGCTCTACAGTCTTTGAATATAGTGGTAACAGGTTCATTGAGCTGCTCACGCTGCCATGCCTGATGTGGATCTCTCTAAGCATTCTCTTTGTAGGTCACAAAAGAAGACAAATCCTTCCAGAATATCATGCGCTGTTACAGGACTCAGCCACAGGCCCGAAGCCAGGTAACCCTGTTTTCTCTCAGGGCTGAAAGTAAAGCTTAAGTCTGTGATGAATTAAAAAAAACAAAAACAAAAAAAAAAACCATTAGCTATAGTTAGTTCTGTGCCTTTCTCACTGCCAGAATTTACAACTAAGAATCTAAGGGGATTGGCTATTTTCATTTTTTTTTTACATCACTGGCATACAGTTCCATGCATGTTATTTAAAGTCCTCTTCCTTCAAAGGCAATGCTGTGAAATATTTTTTTATGTATATGGGTATTTTGCCTGCATGTGTATATGTGCACTGCATGGGTGTCTGGTCCCTCAGAGGTCAGAAGAGAACACTGCATCCCCTGGAACTGTAGTTACACAGTTGTGAGCCATCATGTGGGTTTTTTGAGAATCGAACCTGGGTCCCGTAGAAGAGCAGCCAGTTATTTTAACCACTGAGCCATCTCTCCAGCTTGTGACATATTTCTTAATTCAGAGAATCATAAACTAGATACAAATTTAGAAGTTAACTGATATTTCTGTCATCTTCATCTTTCAGTCTGGTTTAGTAAAACACAGTAATAAATCAAGACAAAGTTGAATGAAGATTAAAAACCCACTTGATCTTGAAATGGCTTGGTTTTTTTTTGTTTTTTTTTGTTTTTGGGTTTTGTTTTTAGTTTTGTTTTTGGTTTTTTGAGAGTGTTTCTCTGTATTGCTTTGGAGCCTGTCCTGGCACTCTCTTTGTAGACCAAGCTGGCCTGGAACTCACAAAGATCCACCTGCCTCTGCCTCCCAAGTGCTGGGATTAAAGGTGTGCGCCACCATGCCCAGCAACCTTTGTTTCTTAAAATGACTTTATAGTTGGTACTAGTACTGCTCTGCAGTGTTTGAGGCAGTACTGGGAATCTGAAATGAGATAGCCTCTGACATAAGTCCCAACTGTTAGTGAATATCTTCTATCACCTAGATCATAAAGTTGTGTTGTTGAGACAGGCTATGTAACCCTGGCTGGCCTGGAACTCACTGTGTAGATCAGACTGGCCTCCCAAATGCTGGTATTAAAGAATGTACACACATCAAATTCTAGAGAATCAGAGTATCTGTTTATTGCTCTTAACAAGTAGTGTGTGTGCAAGTATAGCCACATCTGGCTAGATGAAAGCTTTTGTTATTTTTTTCTTCTGGCCTTGAACTTGCAACACCTCTTTAGCCTTGTAGGTGCTGGTGTCACAGACACAACAGTGCCTAACTTGGTTACAGCTCCTAACACCCAAAGACAGCCATCACTGAGTGTATTTTTATGAGAACCAAGTACCTTATGTTAACATCTTACTTAGTAAGTGCTAGTTTCTGTCCCCTTCTCACTGTCTCTTTAAAGGTATACAGAAGTGTTTTGATAAAAGGGAAAAGGAAAAGAAGAAATTCTGGCAACAGTGACAGCAGAAGCCACCAAAATTCTCCAACAGAACTAAATAAAGACAGAGGTAAATAAGATATATTTTTATAAACATCTAAGTTTCAGGCCAAGGAGACTAAGAATTATCAAATAAAAATACATCTAGTAGTAGTTTGTTCTCAAATAATTTGTTGGAATAATCTAAATGTAGTGGTCAGTTGTCCATTATTCCAGTGCTTTGAGAATATCATATTTCAGATAGGGATTTCTAGCCTAAATTCTAGAAAGAGCTTGCCTGTTGATTAGACCTATGCTATTGAAATGCTGTTCTTAGTTGTTGACCTAAACTTGTAGTACAGGGCTCAGGTTCCAAAAACCTTTGTAGCTTACTAATATAAATTACTCAGTCAACCTGTGGTACAGTTATGATAAGGGAATAAAGTTATTAGTATTTTGAGCTTTGCTTCTTGGTATGAAGAACAGAGCTCAAGATCCAGGAGTGGTGGCCCATGCCTATTATCTCATCTCTACTAAGACTAAGGCAGGAGGACTGTGAGCTCCAGATCTGCCTGGACTATAAAGTGAAACCTCCTCTCATTTGATGATGATGATGATGATGATGATGATGATGATGATGATGATGATGATGATGATGATGATGACTACAATCATGATAATGATATAACCAAGGGTGGAGGAGATAGCCCAGTAAATTATGTGCTGCACAAGGATGTGGACTTATTTGATCTCTAGCATCCACAGAAGCCAGCCAGCCATGATAGCAAGCACTTGTAATCCTAGTTCTTGGGAGGCAGAGACAAGTGGATCACTGGGGTTTGTTGGCTGGTGAGTTCCAAGTCTCACTGCAGAACCTTGACTCAAAAAAGAAGATAGACAGCTCCCAAGGAATGGTACCCAAGGCTGGCCTGTGGACTCCACACACGTACACCTGCATACACATGAATGACACACACCAAACCCCAAAGAATTGGAGTGCCTGCTTATTGTCATTGATGACTGATGCACACATAGAGCTATAGAGCTGTCGTCCGTCGTGTTCTCCCCCCCCGTTTCCTAGTGAAGTGTCTGTTTTCAAACAATCCAGACCAGCACCCTTTGTTCTCTTGGCTGCAGCCAGTAGAGATTCCAGTCCAGTAATGAGGTCAAACAGCACCTTACCAGTTCCACAGCCCAGCAGTGCCCCTCCTACACCAACTCGACTCACAGGTGCCAACAGTGACATTGAAGAAGAGGAGAGAGGAGACCTCATTCAGTTCTACAACAACATCTACATAAAACAAATCCAAACATTTGCCATGAAATACTCACAAGCAAATGTAAGTGCATCAGGGATCACTGGATGCTGTTTTTACTCTTGAGGGGGAGGAATCGTTTGACCTTTTCCATCATAAACTAGATTTACAAATAATTCTTTCATTAAATAAAACTAAGGAAGTCTCCAACAAAAGTACCATACTTAATCAATATAGTTTCTGCTGGTGCTCAGCAGTGTGAATAAGACTGTAAAATTCTCTACATCTAACAGGAGACAGCAGACACATGGGTTTAGACCGCAGTATTTAACAATGATGGTCTTGAAAATTACTTAACTTTGTGCTTTCTATATTCTCATATATTAAATGAGAATAGTAGTAGTTAATAGTTTTTATCTGGTTGTTGTATAAAAATGCCTAACAGAGGGACTGGCAGGAACTAAGCACCCGCCAGTGTTAGCTGTTAGTACAAGTTTCTTTAGTGTCTTTGTTGCTGATACATCGCTGTTCAGCATCCAAAAGTTTCTGGTTTATCATGCCTTTTCACTCAGTAAAATTGATGACTTTTAATACAGCCTGGCTAGAAGAGATTTTTTTCAGAATTATTGATTTTGTTTTCAGCAGATGGACACTCCTCCTCTCTCTCCTTATCCATTTGTAAGAACAGGCTCCCCTCGTAGAGTACAGTTATCTCAGAATCATCCTATCTACATTTCCCCACACAAAAATGAAGCAACGCTCTCTCCTCGAGACAAGATTTTTTACTACTTCAGCAACAGCCCATCAAAGGTAAGACTACATAAACAGTTTTCACTAACTCTAAAATGCATTAGGATGCTAGGAATGGAGTTTCTGCTGTGTAAGGATTTCCTAGAGTGATTACAACTGCCAGGTAACAAAAGGCAGTAAGTCACAAGGGACAAAACCCAGGTTTAATTTTTGAGGACATCAGGGTTAGAAATAAAGTAGGGAAAATAACTCCATTTTTCTTGCCTCCTTTCCTATTTGTAAATTTTGAATATTGAGTTTTCTTTCATTTTTAAAATGTTATTTTTCTATTTCTGTTCAGAATAGAAACTGGCTACCAAGTTCTGTTTCTCCAATAGACATGTCTGCCTTTTGGACTGTTTATAGGGAAAATGGAAAGCTCAGTGTTAGGCATCTGTGTTATCATCTGCCTCAGTCTGAGAGCTGGGAAACCTGAGGCTTGATGGTAGAGTTACATGGTTCTGGGATGTAGAAGGGCATTTAAGAAGCAGAGAAAAAGAAGAAAGTGGTACTCTTAAGGCAAAGGCTCTCTCATTGGTAGTAGTGTAGACTGGCTCAGATGGGAACTGAAGAGGCTATGACAAGCCAAAGGCAGCATGTGGCTCTAAACTGGGTTGTGCTTGGGGAAGCATGCTACACAGGGCAAGGCTGGGACTTGTGTGGCACCCACACTGATGACCTTGGAGGTCACACACTTTATTTGGCTTGTTACAATTCTGCTGACTGAGCCATCTCCTCAGCCCTTTTACCTATTTGATTCATTTCCCCCCATAATCCATTTGGGAATGTATTTGGTTAAAACTGCAAGTTCAGTTTTATAGGAAATACTGTTCTGAATCAGGAAATCTCATCCCACTACAATGTCTTTTGGGATCAACTGCTATCAGTCTGTTTGTAGGCTTCACAAATGACCCCACTAAGACAACCTGAAGTTAGATGTAAAAACTTAGTGCAATTGCTTCAGCTGTCAAGACACAGTTTAAAGGATGGCAAGCTTGCCTAGTGGTGGTGGCACACACCTTTAATCCCAGCACTCAGAAGGCAGAGGCAAACAGATCTCTGAGTTCAAGACCAGTCTGGTCTACAGAGCAAGTTCCAAGATAGCAATCTAAGTGTCTAGTAGTTGATGAATAAATATGTGCCCCCTCGCAGAGATGAAGTACTAGTACATGCTTCAGTGTGAGTGAGCCTTGAAAACATGACAGTAAGGTTATGAAAGACTACATATGATTCTACTTAAGTGAAATGCCCATAATGAGCTGATATGCAGAGGCAGAAAATAGATTAGTGGTTGCCGAGGAGAAAAGGAAGCATTTCTGCAATAAGATTGAGTGTGGAGATGGCTGTACCATGCAGACATCACTGGAATCACACACTTTAAATGGGTGAACTATACGGTCTGTAAATTATATCTCAATAGGGCTGTTTTAAAGAATGTTTAAAAGACCATGCTAACACCAAGTAAGAAGAGAACTGGAGTAGCTATGTAACAGGAAAACTGGACTTCAGAGCAATAAGTACATGACCAAGAGATTTAGTTCCTGGGCTGGGAATATAGCTCAGAGCTAAAGCATTGGCCTAGCATGTACAAAGCTCTATGCTCAATTCTGAGAGATGGGAGAGGAGAGAAAAATACACTCATAGTTGAGAATTCAACATAATTGATAGGGTAGATAAGAGAAAAGTAATAAATGTAAAATTGCACATGGAACATTTTACAAATGTAGACCACACTCTAGACTATAAAGACTAAGCTTAGTACAGTGCTGAGGACCAATCTAGTGACTTTGCCATGCTAGGCAGGCGCTCTACCACTGAACCATATCCCACAGTCTTAGTAAATTAAAGCTTTCAAATAATGTTTTTTGGTTTTTTTTTTTTTTCTGGCCATGACGGCAGTGAATCAGAAATTATTAACAAGAATGCTATCAGGAAACCTCCAAATTTTTAGAAGCTAAAGATCAGATTCCTATGGTCAAAGAAGAGATCCCAAGAGAAACTGAAAGCACATTTTATATTAATGAGAATCTACAATGTTAAACTGTACGTGTCTTAGTCACTGTTCTATTGCTGTGACAAGACACCATGACCAAGGCAATTCTTATAAAGAAAGGCATGTAACTGGGGGTTCAGAGGTTAGCCCATTATCATGGAGGGAACCGTCAGCACACAGGCAGACAAATGGTGCTGGAGAAGTAGCTGAGGGATCTACAGCATGATCCATAGGCGGGGGTGATAGCACTTCCTCCAACAGGGCGCCACTTCCTAATCCTTTCAAATACTGCCATTTACTGGTGACCAAGCATTCAAACTTATGAGCCTATGGGGGCCATTCTCATTCAGATCACCACAGTAGGTTACAGCTGAAATAGCACTAACGGGTGTATCACTCTACATGTCTAAATGACACACTACCAGTACACACTAAAAGTAGCTTGAGAGTTAACTTTCATGCCTATAATGTAGAGGCACAGAAGAAATGGACAGACTATGATGTACCTACACTAATAAGTAGCCTTAGGAGCCCAATACTGATTAAATTTGTTTGCTTTTAGATTTTATGTGAGTATTTTGCCCATGTTTGTGCATGTGTACAATTTGTGTGCCTGGTTCCTGGGGAAGTCTGAAATGGAGTTAAAGATGGTTGTGAGTCACTATGTGCGGGGAACAAACCCAGGTCAGGTCCTCTGCAAGATAAACCCTGAGTCATCATCCCTCTAGCCCACTTGTTTTTGAAACAAAATCTCACACACTATAGTCCAAGCTTACCTCGAACTCCTACCAATCTTCCTGCCCCAGCCTCCAAAGTGGTGGGATAACAAGCAGGGCTACTATACCAGCCTTAAATTTCTAGTTTAAAAACATTTCAAATAAAACTGGAGCTGCAAATTATACAAGACGTTACAGAAATAATGCCAGTTCTATATAAATGTTTCAAAGAACATAAAGACAAGTCATTTTGTAGTTCAGTAAAAACACCTTTGAAAGAAATGATTTGATGCAAATTTGCCGATATAACATCATCCCTAATGGCGAGACGCTGAATGTCTCCCCTCTGGTGTCCATTCTCCTTTCTCTTTGTCTCTGGCCTGTAGATTCTGTCATGTGTAATAACACAAGATAAAGAAGCCATGTATGCATTGTGCATAGAAAAACAACAAAGAAGCATGAACACTATCCTTTGATCCCACAAGTACAGCTTGGTACCGCCCTCCCACCCCAATGTTAGGATCTGAATGTTTGAACTGTGAAAAAAATATCATGTAATGAGCTATGTACAAAATATCATGTACTGTATGTACATAATAAATTACAAAAATATAATTTATAAATGTGCTATTTGTTATTGAAGAGTAACTTTATAATTTATGTAGCATGTAATCAACTGATGTAGTCAGTGATCAATATAAGGAATACTGAGGTAAATTGGAGACCCATAGAGACAGCAAATGTGGACTAGACTTCTTTTAGGAAAGAAGAGAAAGGATCAAAGGAGGCTTTGTCTATGATATTTAAATTTTTGAAAATACATATGCTGACAAACAACATTGATGATTTAATTCTATTTCTTTCAGAGTAAAGAATTAAAATGACGGGCTAGAGTGTGGGTGAGTGGTAGAATATTTACCTGGGTCTAATCCCCAGAACCACAAAAAGGAAAAGATAAGTGAAATGTCTAGGATATACTATTCTTTTGGCTTTCGATCTCACATAGCCCAGGCTGGCCTCAACTTTGCTGAGTAGTTAAGGGTGGCCTTGAACTTCTGGTCCACCTGCCTCTACCTCTGGAGTGCTGATACTCTAGGTGTGCATCCCCATGCCATTTATGCAGTGTTGAGAAGTGAACATGGGGCTTTTTCATGCTAAGCTAAAGCATTCTACCAATGAGCTACAGCCTTAGCCCTAGGATATGCATTTTTAAATCTGAGGGATGAGAAGTGACTAGAGACCCGAACTGTCCAAGCTGGGTGGTGTGAGGATTCACTATTCCTATTCATTCACTATCCTGATAGTCCTTAAACTATGTGTATGTTAACATTTTCAATATCTTTTTTCTTTTTTTTTCTATTTTGGTTTTTCCAAGACAGGGTTTCTCTATATTGTTTTGGAGCCTGTCCTAGAACTCACTCTGTAAACCAGGCTGGCCTGGAACTCACAGAAACCCGCCTGTCTTTGCCTCCCGAGTGCTGGGATTAAAGGTGTGTGCCACCAATGCCTGGTTTCAATATCCTTTTTAAATAAGAAACACGAACAAAAATTCTAGCCAACAGGTACCAGAAGAACAGTTTCTGAAAAGACTTTGAGGCCTGGAGAAACAATGCTACTGACATATTGGGCTGCTCACTGAAGCCACTGAACATGAGAAATAAATGTAGTAACTCCTCAGTTCTCCCTAGAAGAAACTGCTTCCAGAGGCCGCTGATGCATTACCTGCAATGAAAGCCTTCAGGGACTAAAGCTTATTTCTCTAGTGACACTGTGGCTGAGGCCTGCTAGAAAACAAGTGACTCAGGCATGGTGTCCCAGCTGTTGGGGACAAAGGCAGGAAAACCACAAGGTCAGGTCCTGCAGAGTTCAAAGCTAGTTTCAAAATGAAGAAACTTGGCATAGTAGCTCACACTTTTAATTCTAGCATGCATGAGGGGGAGATGATGTGAGTTTGAGGCCAGCTAGCCTGGGCTACAGTGACACACTGTCTCAAAACAAGAAAAAAGGTGTGTGGTACTTGAGACAAGGTCTTAATATATAACTTCAGCTGATCTTGTCCTCAATTTGTAAGCTCGGTTGACTATAAACCTACAGCAATCCTCTTGCTTCTGCCACCCAAGTGGTGAGATCATAGGAGCCACTGACCTTTAAGGTCATGCTGCCTTTTAGAGTATACGTGGGGCTGTTAAGATAGCTCAGTGGGTGATGGCATCTGCCACAAAAGCCCCACATAAAGGTAGAAGGAAAAAACTGACTCCACAAATACACACGCATGCACGCATGTGCGTGCACTGACCTCCACACATACACTTTAGACAAAAATCTCAAAGTGGATGTGAGTAAACATGGCATAACTATGATACTCTAGAACTAATAGACAAGTTGTTGGGCATGTGTATTGTAGATATGTGTATCACAATCACCAACCAAGTTTGTTGAAAACAGGAATGTCTTGCCTAACCCAGAGTCATCAGTGTCCCGACTGGATCTGCTTAGGGTTTTCTTTCTGCAAGGGTGTTCAAATGCTTAAACGGCTGAACTCACTTGAGACGCTAACTTAATACAGAGCAATGTGCTTTAGCATTTTAAAGTGTTTGTGTCTATTTTTTCCTTACCACAGAGACTGAGAGAAATTAACAGTATGATACAGACAGGAGAGACTCCAACTAAAAAGAGAGGGATTCTTCTAGACGATGGAAGTGAGTCACCTGCAAAAAGAATTTGCCCAGAAAATCATTCTGCCCTGCTACGTCGTCTTCAAGATGTAGCTAATGACCGAGGTTCACACTGAGGTTAGTCTCCGGTATGGAAACTTCTTCACATGAACTGCTTAGCGTTAATACATGCAGGATTATAGGAGCTCGCTCCTTAATCCAGCAGCTATTAAGCCTGGCAGAAAAGGGAAGCTCTCCAACTTGGTATATACCTGTTATCCCAGCACACAAGAGGTAGAGGGCAAGAAGACCAGGAGTTTGGAGCTATCCTGGGCTACCCAGCATGTCTACTAAGGCCAACTTGGGCTATATGTAACCCTGACTCCAAAACAACAAAGGACATTTTGGTGAGAAATTAGGCTTGCTCCAGTATCCTTAGGATATTTTTATTCATCCCAATTGCCTCTCCCCTACTATTCAGTGCTGACCTTTAACACTGCCCATAATCCAAACCAGGACTTTTAACTCTGGTAAACCTTTACAATCACCGCAGAAAACAAATCTTTAGAGGCCTGTGCAGGTAAGCCCCAGCAGAGGAACTTTAAATTCATTCCCACTTGCATATGGTTTGGCCCAACCATGGAGGACAAAACACCTGAGACATTTACATTCATGAAACAGAACAGAAGGGATGGCCCAGACCTGGACATCTCCAGGCACTTGCCTAAGGCTCCTGTTCCTTTGAGCACAATCCCTTCCCCAGGAGGTATGGTTCAGTGTGGAAGGTGTGCAGTGTCTGAATGAAGCTGTGTAATTGGTGGCACTTTAGGGCTGTAAAATGCATGGCACTGCAACCAGATTTTGCTGTATATTTATGATGGCACTTTCTATAATGTGGACTTCAGTAGGTACAAGACTTCTAGGCTATACAGCCAATGTTTTCTCTAATGCTTTTCTTAAAGGACTTGATGTAACTACACATTCTGGGCATGTGTAAAACACTCCAGTTTGTGGTAGTGGTGTTACATAGGAATCATCTGGCTAAGTAAAGATTTTTAAATCAAGTTGAATTAAGAATTTGAAAAATTATGACCAGTTCCTTTTGGAGGTAGCTATCCAAAGGAAAGTATCTTTGAGGGAATTCCTGGAAGTTAAAAGAATAGGTTGGAGAATTCAGGTTTTTATTAGTAGGTAGTACCATTTATACAAATTAGAAAATTATTTAACAGCTATTGATTATCTACACATATCTTTATTAATCATTATTGTTCCAGTTGTTTTTAAGTTGGATTAATAATCCTAAGGAGAAAATTCAATTGTAAATTGGATCATTATAAGCAAAGTTACTAGGTAACTTCATACTGCTCTAAAGCGTAGACCTTGCACTGTTCACCAGAGTAGTGCTGTGCAGAGTACTTAGAAAAACCTCTTGGTACCGCTACTGTAATTTTATATGAAAATATGTGTATTTTTCAATAAAGCACTTATAAATTAGTCTCTGTTTAGTTATATTGAAAAAGAACATTAGTTTCCTGCATAAATGACAATCAATCATTTATTGGTTTATTTCATCTCTACTAACACATCAGTCTTTCACCATTTAAATACCTGACTTCATTAGAAACCGTTTTAACACTTTTTCTTCCTCCTGCCATAAAAATACAGTAATTTGCTTTAAAAACAAAACAAAACAAAAACCTATGAACAAGCATCCTGGTTCTGCCTACTTTCCTAATGCTCTGAGATAGACGTTTACAGCAAGTCAGCAGGCTGAAGCCGGAAAGCCAGTCTTCTTGAAAGTGCTGCCCTCTGGAATCTCTTCTCTACACCATTCTTCACGACCTACCTACCACATGTACAGCCGAAACTACCAACTTCCAACTACGTCACAGTGCTCATTTCTCTCTGCTCTGTTAAAGTAAATACAACTTACCTCTAACATATTCAGAAAAATACTTAAGCCTCAAGGTCCCCAATAATTTGGAGTACTGAACTAGAAGCACCCTGACACTTCTGACAGAAGTAACGCATTACGTAATAAGAGGTCTCCACAACCTGTTGTCAGAACCTACGCACACACAACACTGATAGGCAGTCACTGTTCACGTGGTTTACTCTTCAGGCAGTCCTTTGCCATTAGTCAGCTTTAACTAGGCCAGAGTCCAGCAGGAAAGTGCATGGTGCACCAGATCCACCTTCTCTTAGGTTGCTACTGTTTTCTCTTCTTTACTGAAAGGTTGTACTGAGCCAGGCTTTACCCATGACAGGCCAGCAACATGAACACTTTTATTGTGCTGTTCGTCAGGCTTCTTCTAGGCACAATCAAAAACAGACATTAAAAAAAAAGGACTGATGAGCAAGTTCACAACCATACTGACTAGTTTCCCCAAGAGTTAACTATATGTAACCAATGGCCACAAATGCAGACAGTTAAACCAGGATAGCCATTTAAAAAATGGTTATGTACTTACTTTCTGAGTCAGCATCTTCTCTCTGGCCTCATCATGTACAGAAGGGTTCCATGGAGAAAAGCTTGAAGGGCAGAAAATATTAAATATAGTTCATGGCTTTCAAAACATGTACAGCACCCAATTAAGACAATTCTAAGGAAACTTCAGAAGGAAGAAATTTTTTAAAGGTTACTCTGTGTAGCCCTGGGTGTCCTGGAACTTCCTCTGTAGACCAGGCTAGCCTCAAACTCAGAGCTCCACCTGCCTCTGCCTCCCCAGTGGTGGAATTTCAGGTGTGCGCCACTGCTCCCTGGCTAAGGAGCAATCTTTAATCAGTTGCTAGCATACATTGGTATCATCTAAAACAGACAGCCCTGTAAACCTCATACCACCCTGAAATATTATTTAAAGATGAAGAAAACAAGGCAGAGGAAAACCAAGTACTTACTAAAAACCAAGCAGTCCATCAGCTGAGCCCAAAAGCAACACTGTAGTATGCTTCCCAACGATGCCAATGTCCACAAGAACTATAGGGCCTCTCCATTCTATTCTAACATGCTCTCTCCACCAAATCTAAATGTTAAGGAGTTAGTCTAGATCTAGTTCAGTACTCCAAATTATTGTGTACTTTGAGACATATTTTTCCGAATATGTTAGTGTATAAGCCACACAAAGCCTTTGGTTTAAGGTCAAGAGCCCAAGAAGCATTAGGAGTTGACAGAAAATGAAAAGCTCCAGGCTGACATTACACATGTCCTTCTAAAGCAGAAGTGTAAAGGACTAGGTGACATGCCACTTACCTAATTGCATAGGGGTCTTCTATTTTCGGTTGGTCAAACAAACGAGCAGTACATACTTTAACACTGTCAACCACTTTACTCTTAAAAAGCTGAATGTCTTTTTCATACCTGTATTAAAAGTTTTAAAAATTTACCGATTTATCTTAAATAATAATAAGATTATCCTAAGTAACAAAGTAAAAATCACATACAGTACTGCAGCCTCTGGGTTTAGGGGGCTTGTTGTGTCGATCTTGTAGAAGACTCTCCTTGCGTACATTAAGACCTGCCATATATGATTATGGTTCCGCCTGCAGGGAGACAAGGTATGATTATTTTGGTTTGTTCCTGATGACTATGCTACTATAAGAAACAGTGATACACTAACCTCCACTTTGCAAATGCTCTCTTCACATCCAGTTCTCCTGAGGTGGAATCAACTAGCGGGTGAAACACGGGAATGTCAAACAGCAAGCGCTGTATGTGGAGAGAAACACTTTAGTGGGAGTGATGCCATGCCGCTAGTCAGATCAGGCCCACCCAGGGCTCTTAACTACAACTACTTTCCTGTAAACAGCTTTGCAACAGGGGAGATTCTGCTCTCCTCCTGCAGTATGGCCATCACCAGGCATACCGTGAACTGTCCAGCACAGACCCCAAGTTCACCCACACACCCTCGAGCGGAGAAAAGGATGAAACTGCAGGCAGGGTAGCATGACCCCAGGTAACAAAGTGCCAAACCCCCATTGCCTGCAGGAGACATAACATCTGAGGAAACTAATTTCACTACAGCATCTAAGGTCAGGAGAAGAATCAAGAAATCTGTAAGCCCTGATTTCCTCTCAATGACTAAAGCTCTGCCCGGGCTCAACTGTAGTCCCACTTACTGGACAGTCGCCATCTGGATAGTTATCAGGAATATACACCGTAAACTTGAACACACCATCCTGATACAGCCCGTGTCGTATGAATATTACGCCAAACCACACTGCAGGAGAACATAAACACGCTTAAGTCCCATCTGTGTCAGAAGATCTCACACACCAAAAATAAACCGTTGAGTCCACATCTTACCTAATGCGGAGCGGTACGATGGCTGTACATAGACGCCTGGTAGCTTCTGCTTCACTACCAATGTACTAAAACAAGCAGAGTGGTAATTAGCTCGTACAGATGCCAGTGACACATAAAAGTCAACCATCCCACATTTCACGAGACAAGCAGCAGCTCAAACTATAGAAACGGAGTCATCCTAGTTTTACATCTGAGTCTCCTAGATCACCACCCTCTTACTTCCAAACCAGCCCAAAGAAACTCAAGACAATACACGATCCCAGACTTAGAGAGCCATACAGGGACAAAGAATCGAGTTTTGCTCTCAGAAACATAATTTTGAACATTAAAATTGAGGTAAATAGGGCTGGAGAGATGGCTCAGAGGTTAAGAGCACTGACTTCTCTTTCAGAGGTTCTGAGTTTAATTCCTACCAACCACTTGGTGGCTCACAACCATCTATAATGAGATCTGGTGCCCTCTTCTGGCCCAAAGACATACATGCAGGCAGAACACTGTATAATAAATAAATATTTTTTAAAAATTGAGATAAATAATGAGCTGATGCGGTAGCCCCCCCATTTAGTCCCAGCACTGGTGGGTGGGGGTGCACCTTTATGAGTCAAGTTTCTATATAGTGAAACTGTCTCAAAAAAAAAACCCACAAGAAAATTGAGGTAAATGTTAAGTATTTCTAAAAGTATTGCTTTTATCATTGTAAATTAGAGTTC